TATTATGTACAAGCTCCGTTTAATTATTTATAATGCTCAATTTAACAACACTTGATTTTATTTATATGATAAGTTGTTTACTGTTTTTGGAGGTCAGAATCTATTGATTATGAATTAGAAACTAATCAAATAATGAGAGCAGTGACTCGGTTCTTATACTCGTAAACGCGTCGAGACTATGACGTGTAACGCGCCACTAATTTCAGCCCACGGATTTGTCTGGGAGTAAATCCAATTTGGAAACAAAATTAATAAAACAAAAATACTTTATCATCACGCCTCTATAAAAATACAATTATTTTTTTCGGTAAGCGTTGGACTGTTTAAAAACTACTTAAAAGTAATTTGAAAATCTCTGTTCTTTTAAACACAGAGTGTGTTTTTGTTTTTTTTTTTTTTGTAGTAACTAACAGTAACCGTGTTTCAAGCTCGGAGTGTTCCAAATTTCTCCTTGTTTTATAATTCTGACGGAACATACCAAATAACTACAAAACATACTGTTTTCTAATGAAGTTCAGTAAACAAATACGTTCGTAATGATGACCTAAAAACAGTACATCTATTGTGGCTTGCATTTATATTTTACGAACTTTATACTCGCATTAATCATCAAACTATAATGAATGCATTCTTACGTTTAATCTGGTTTCTCACTAATGTCAATATTAATTGGTTTATTATAAAATTAATTTGGATGTTTGGAAGCTTTTAAAAACAATATTATGAACATAAGAATCTGACAGACGAGAATTTGTTAAGTAATAAGCAACATGAAAATAACAGAACGAAGATATCTCTATTTCAAATGGTAACTGACTATAAATAGCAATGTAGGGCAGACAGTTTGGCGGCCAACCAACATTCTAAGGAATTTGTGTACAGACAGCCTAAAAAGGTTTCATTTAAAAAAAAGTAAATAACCTCTCCCTGAGCAATATTTCATGAGTATTTGTCTGTTTTGTTATAAGGATGATTTCATTCTCTTAATTTAACACGTTTAAAAATTAAACTTGTGACAGTAATCTAAGTTTCTGATTAGTAATATATGTATTTTTCTTGTGCTGACTGTACCTGGGACCGATCAACAATCCTGGAATAAGACTACACAGCCTATTCGTTTTATTTTAATCTCATTTCATATTATGGAATATCGTTGTTTGATAACGTTAAAACCTTCATGTGTCGTTTGATTTATTATGTAATAAATTACTTGTTATGTGACATAGCACAGACAAAAACACAGAGTAAAGATTTTATATAAATAATTCATCCATTTAAAGCGCTGTGAACATATATATTAATATATTTCTTTGTACAAAAATTCCAAATCTAATCTTACTGCTTTGTATAAATACAAAACGGTTTCTCTTTATTTGTTTCCACATAACATTTTGCCTGATTGTTAAGAAAGCGCCTAGCGACATCTAGTGGTTACATCAAAACTCGTACCCTAAGTAGTATCCCACACTACTTGCTGGTTCTTTTGCTAGCCAATAGATGGCGGTGGCACCAACGAGTTTGATGTTTGCTTTCTAGTCATTTTAAAATTGTTAAAAATTAAAATTATTAAACAATACTAATTAAAATATGATGTAGTACGTTAAATAAAATATAAATGTATAGTTTTGAATACTTATCTTTGCGTTTAAAATAAAATTGAACCTTAGAATTATTTATAAAAATGATAATACTCAAGAATATAAAACCATGACTCAGACCACCCATAATAACTTCAGTCTTAACTTTTTTCTTCAGTCCTAACTTTAAAAGTACTAGAATGAAATATTATATTTATCTTTATAATACATAAAATATTTTTAAAAACCAAATAAATATTTATTTTTTAATAAATAAAAGCTAGTGCTTTTTTTAATATCTGAAAATGAAATAGTTATTTTCTGTTAATTAGGCAGTGCTACAATTAAAATACATGTCGTTTCATAAACTGTTGATACTTTTTAAAAGCACTAATTGTATAAGTCAAAAACATAACTTTGTGATCAACTAAGTCAATGCAATGATTCAAAAAAAAAGTACTTTTACTAACAAATAAACAAAATAGCTGCATTAATTTCATTATTTAATTACAATATAATTTAAATGTCAAAGAAGGAAGTGTAGTTAATAGCATGAAACAGTACATATATAATGATTTTTTTGTGATTATATATTCAATAGTTCTTCTTAACAAAAAACTTAATAGTGATGCGAATTTACCGGATCTCATTTCAGTCTATTTACGATAAATGCTATCGATATAAACTGTGTACCGTTATGCTTCGTCAACTGTCATGTCCCACTTCGTGTGAACGAATGAATGATAACTGAACGAATGACTCGTTTACTTAACCTTTAAATTATGGCTTTGTTTTGGAATTTTAATTACCTTCTATTTTATTGTTATCAAATTTAAAGTATTTTTAGTTTATACATGTATTAAAAAACTTCCAAATAATTTTCACCATCTCGGTCGTACAAAAGCCATAAAACAATTTTTAAACGATATAACAAATATCTCGAAATCGGCATATAAATATCACGGTATCCCGACTATAAAAAGCTAACACACCAAAGGCCTATAAAATATTTACGACGCATCGAATTGATATGTTAATGGGACAGACATGAGACGGATAATGCGGCTCGTCCGGTCAATAGATGGAAAGATTTTTTAAACATTGTACGCGACTTATAATAGCTCAGCTATGAAACTGTTACGTGTAACCGAACACGTTGCATGTGTTACATAGATACCAGACACTTACAGACTCAAATAATAAAATTAACCCTTATCATAACATTGGCTATAAAATTATCCACACACTAACGCTATCATTACAATATTAACATGCGGGCGATCCCATCTGCGACCTCCTATTGAAACACGCGTCGTTTTTATCACCATTTTTATGAGAAAATTTGACTAAAAATAAATTTATAATACTTGTGGTCCAATCGAACGAACATTGAGAGCCGTAACGTTGATGTAATAATGAATATTTATTCAATATTACAATACACAGATAGTATGTAACTTATAGATAAATTTGTATTGTAAGAAAGATACAATTATCGGTATTTACGAAACATCTTGCGTGCCAAATACCTATTTAAATTTAAAATTGCCTAATAAGATGTGTAATTATCGTATTGCATGTCATAGTCTATGGAACTATAGAATTATGTAAAGATTCAGTTCTCAAGTTCTTCGAACTGTGCTAAATAAAAGATAATTTTATTAATGATTATCATTTTGCGTGCAAAATATATTAAACAATACATTTATATAAAGTTACAACTACCACAACACTATAATAAACATATAGTATATTAATAATATCTGTAATACAGTTTAAAATTGACAGGTCCACGCGTCACTTCAATAATAAATTCATGAATTATAAATGAACGAGTGAATGAAAAGAGAATGGACGGCTTAAAAAAATATATATGTAAAATAAATTGGTCTCCATTGGGTGCAATTAGTAATTAAAGCAATTGCCTGAATTGGTTCACAGCTGCTCGCTTGTTGACCGACCGAGACCTCGGAGCTAGTGATGTACCTAGATTTTATTCTATAATACTTTACCGTATATTATATCGATAATATGTCGTCATATAATCTCGTATCTATATCCTTGTTTATTTAAAGGGTTATTTTTTCCTATATTTACTAATAAATACTAAAGCTTTTAAAACAATGATATTCTAAAGTTAAGGAAATAAATTTATATTAGTCGATAAATTAATTCTGGGGGATGTAATTAGCTGTAGGTCTATTTATCCTTCTTGCGTTACAACATAAATCACAAAAGAAAATACGCGAAATCGAAACACGATACCACACATGTGAAAAGCAAACAGTAGTAGCCATTGAATGCAAGGCGCTGTGAAGATTTATTTACTTCTCTCTATTTAGACCTCTATGTCTATCCAGTGAAAGGCTATTATCGCATGTTTTTTATGTGTTGCGTTCTCATGAATGAATTTACTTATATTAGCCAGAGAATCCCTGTTCGCTCATTAGCGGGCCACCAATCAAGGGCCGCTAGTTTCTTCAAAGAAAGTAGGTTAATATAACGTTCTTTGTAGTTTTATTAAATAAAATTTGTCTTGAAAGCATTTCAAGGTACGAATTGATTTTAGTTCAGAAAAATATTTATTGGTGAAAAATTTTAGGAATACATATGTGTAAGAAACTTCATTACTTGTCGTTTTTATAGTTTCATAAACGATATTACAATAACATTTGTTATAAAACATAATATAATATTTATTGTAGGTTTTAATGTACCATTGTGTACAACTGTATTGCATATATTTGTATATTTAAGGGGCGGCAATAAAACACGTCAACAAAGATAAACAGCACTAGTAATACTCGTAGGTACAAGGAAGGCGAGCGGGCCGCGGTTAAAGACGTATGATTTTATTACAGTATCTGCGTCCCGGCGCCCGATCCGCTTCATTTATCTAATGCACATTGCATTTGCTTTTAGTTTTTAGTGTTACGCCACGCTTCGCTCTGCAACAGAAATAACGTAGAATATCGGTCACAGACTCTGTTCGGAATGAACGAATCATTTTAATTGCCGGACAGTACATCACTATCGCGTAGAGCGTGCCGCGTGCGGACGTTTCCGCTCCATATTTGAATCTCCAGAAAAGCGCGCGAACGCCGCTTTGACATTTGAACTTCTTACGAACAAAACAAAACTTTGTTATCGTGCTTTGTTTTATTTAAAAACAAAAATGTGCACTGATTAAACTCGTATTCGCGTATCAGTCGGGTCAACATGGGTCGGAGATGTTTTCGTAACGATTATTTTAGGAAGAAATATAACGATAATTAATCGCGTTCGAGTGCAAATGACGACTACACTAAGTATTATTTGTTCAATCTGAGTGCATTAACGGTGTGGTGTCTCGTTAAGGAAGCCTTCGCGGAATCCCACAGCTGATTCATACACCGGTTATCGTGTTTTGAAACGAACGGCAAAATGTGTGAGGTTACAAGTTGGATTCCGCACGCCGTTGTGGAAACACTGCGCGACCGCTCCGCGCAGCCTGTACTCGCCTGGCTCACTACAATACGAGCATCGATCGAAGAGTACGATCCTCTCGTGGTTGTACGGCCACAGTCTTCGGTTTCGGTGGAATCAGAATCTGACAGTGCCTTCGACGAAATCCTCTCCCAACTAGGAAAGGAGATATACAAGCTAGATGAATACCAAAGAAACTTAGCGCCGAACTTAAAGAACGTGTCAGTTAGCATCATGAATATATTCGACGAGTGTCTCGAAGGTATTGATCAAACGCAGAGTGTGGAGACCGAGACCAAGATGCTGGACCAATCTAAAGCAGTGCCGGATCAAAGTGTCACTCATGATAATGAATCTAGTGTTGAGGTGAGTTCCGTGATGACGAGTACACCGGTGAGTGTTCCACCAGCGGTGCCGCCTCGCAAACTGAAGACGCGCTCACCGTCACCGTGTCCCTCGTACGATAACATGGAGTTGAAGGACGTTACGTTATCAGACAGCGACTCAGAGAGCACGTGCTGGAGCTACCAGGAATGTAACGTCGACAACGACACTGAACCGACCAAGCCTTACGAGGCGCTGTGGTCGCATTCCAGCGGCTATCACAACTCCGATGAGATATTGCGTTGCGTCCTATCACAGGCGCAGCAGAGGGCGACCATATCGCGATTGTCTTTCGATACAGCTAGCGACTTTTCGCCGCAGCCGTTTAATGTTTACGCGTTACAAGAGGTGGGAGGCAGGTGGCGTTCAGTCGCAGCCATGACGCCGGACAAGCCGTGCGACGACGGCTACGAACCGGTCCGGGATGCTCTCACCGACGAGAATATATACGAGGAGATAGAATACGGTTATAGTTATACGGACGAGGGGTGCTCGTGTGGAGGTAGTGTTGAGGTTGAGAGTTGTTCTATAAGTGCCAGTTCGGACGGTGTTGGTAGAGAGAGTCCCTTATACGCAAATCTAAGAGACCACGACGCTTACGCGGTACCACAAGATGTTATATCCTGGAAGAACATGCTGCTGGATCCGTACTACAACGAAGACGAGGAGGACGAGGTGGGTGCTTTAATAATACTCGATTCATATAAAACGAAGCTTAAAGTTATTACAACAATAACATTATCAGCTATAATTGTTATTATCTCGGTTAGAGTCGCGAACTATGTACGTATCTTGAAGCGAATTTATCTCTTGTTCCATTTCTTATAAATAACAATGTGTGCAATATTTATATTAATATATACAACACATTACTATGTTTTTATTATATAGGACTCTGTTTACGCACGTGTTCTTTAAAAGATAATAAAATAATCGTCTCCTTATCTTTTTTAGAAATTCATTATCTTTTTCTAAATAAAAGACCATGAATGAACTTAGTGTTGCTTACAATTTCGTTTATTCTTGATAATTTTTATAAATATTTTTTATGTAATACTCTATATTAAGTAATAATTATGAACTTTTTATTACATACTCGTACTATTTACGTATTTAATATATACTTTTCATTCAAAAATCAACAGATAACTTAGGACCTATATAAATCGTAATAACTCAGTGAAAAGTTTAACTTAAATACTGTAATGTTTCGTAAGTTCTATAGGTTCCAATCAAACTGCTGTTTAAATTATATACAGAAGAAACAATATATAAGGAATTAAAAAAAAGTAGCTTCTCTACGTTCACAATTATATAAACTTAATCAAATACTATTTAGCGCTATTCGACATAATAAACATAATGACAATGTATTTACATATATTGTCTATAGAATTTACTCAATTACTCAAATATATATACAACAATATATTTTATACGTACGTCGTATTTAAATCATCTAATCGCTCTCAAAGGGTACGATTGCAAAAATGGCGTTCGATTAATATTCCAGTATCATTCACGCTCCAAAACATTGTAAAGGTATTGTAGTATATAATCGTTCTTTGTGCTATTATATTAATTGGTGTCATATGATATTGTATAAGAACTTTACAACGCAACTTATAAATGAATAAATAAATTACTTAATAAAAAAAACTACAAGGTAAATCAGTTAAGATAAATTGCATAATAGATTTAAAGGACGCAACGTATTTAGTTATGTTAAGAATGTGTTAACTATCAATAGGAAATAACTATTTAATACAGTAAAGAAACACGTTAAAAATATCGTATATTAAGTTCGATTTATATCAAAAGACAAAGCAATCAAAAAATAAAGTCCTATAAAAATATGTTTAGAAGACTATGACGTATAACAAATGAATTAATAATAATAACATATGAATCATTAAATTGAGATTACTAGCTAATGAAATGAGTGGTTCAGGCTAATGACTAATGATGTTTATAAAATAACATTAATTGTTGTAGGCCCATCGCATTGTTTGCAAGAAAACCAACAATTAAATAGTTTCGTCTTAATGAATAGGTTGAAATATTTTGCAATACACTAAGCTTGTATATACACTACTATTTAGACTAAAAAACCACTAACTAGTAAGTAGTTAAAAAAACACTAATAATAGTAATACTATAGTATTTTTTCAACTATTTACCTCATTATGTTATTGAAAACGTCATTTTGTTGAATATTCATTAAGAGTTGTGAAACATTCGACATTAATTATTATTGTATCGAAGAAATTAAATTTCTAATATTCTTTTAATGCGATTCATTTATAAAATGACGTCGTTTTTGTTAAAGTGTAATTAATTAATCACTTCAAGGTATACAACGTACAAAGTTCTGAAAATAATTAAGAATTCAAAGAAAAATAAAAATAAGCTTATCTTGGGATTACCCAATGCATGGGTTCTGTCTACCTGAGTTTTATGTATTAATACCTGGAGTTGGTAAATAATTCTTATTATTTTTTACTTATAAGTATTTATTGACAAAGTAATACCTTCTAAATTATATATAAAGATAAGTAAAATATAAAAGTAAAAGCTGAAATAACTCATTTAGATGAAAAGTTCATTTTTTTTAAATACCAGGGTTTCTACACAATCTATTTCACTCGGTTCTACTCGCGTTTTAACATTTTCATTCCAAACCATATTCTATTGATTTATTATATTTAGATTTAATGCATCTCCTGATATCAAGGTACACATACATATATTGAAAATTTAGACATATTGGAAGAAATTATTTTTCATGCTTTTTACTATTTTCATATAAAATAAGTAATGTGTATAATAATCCTAAATCGTAAGAGAACATTATTTTTTTTTTAGCTTTTTTTATTAGTTTTCGTTTACATATTCCAGACTTATCTTTAAGCGGACATTAATAAATCAGATTTATTACGAAAAAATACATTATATTATGTATATATAAAATTAGGGATCATATTTTAAATATTGTAAAATAATATTTTAACATTCAGCGGTTTCACTAATTAAAACCTCTTTACAGTATCGGTTAAAATACACCAAAACGTTTTAGTGCTTTTAAAGGATACATTAAATTTAATCAAGAATATAAAAGCTTAAATTGATTACTCGTTCATAATGGATAATGCATTTTGCTATCATAACAATCAAGTTGTTCTGGTTAAACAAATAATATATATGCATACTAGAAAATACATAAAAACCTGTCGCATGTCGAAAGTATAAGAATCTATTTGTGTAATGATGCGATTCATTAGATTGGTTACATCACAACTTGTTTAACAAATTCAATGTAACCGATTAACGTAATTACTTTTCAGTTAAAAAAAATCATGAATCATTTCGGATAATGATATATATTTTTTATAGATTTTATGTTATATTTATTATAAAACAAATACAAATAGATAAATCCTTTTGTAATAAACCGTCCTGACCTTAAAACAATAAATCACAATAAGTAAAAGAAATCGTTGACTGATAACGGGAATTTATATTCAACCTAGAATAGATAAGAAGTCATTAAGGGACTATTAAGTAACCCAACAGCTTCATTACTATATATTTTTTATATATTTTGTATTGTTAAAAATACTATTTAATGAACTATACGAATATATTTTTGTAGGCATATATTACAATAGAAAAAAAGAGAAATTAATATTTCTTCTCAAGAAGAAGCGAAAGAATGATTTGGGATACACGATTTTTATTCAGAATTAAAGGATATAATTTTTTCGGACACCTATTGACGATATTTTCTTCAAAGTTTTGGCTCGTTGGGTTGGTGACCCGGTAAATTTTGTTTCCTTCTAGAGGTAATAAAAAATAAGCAAAAAAATAAAGCACCTGATTAAGTCACCAGTAATGCTGATTAAATAGAAAACGCACGGTTGATCGAACAGTATGTAAAAAGCCACGCATAAATCGATTGTACGGAACTCTAGTTTAAAAAAAATGAATTATAGCCACTTATTTGTCAATAAATTTGAAAGTTTCTTTTGCATTGTTCAAAGATTTTTATGCCTGTATAATTATGCATGTAATAGTCGTATGCTAATTTGGTTTTATGCGTTTTGACATATTTTCTTTTATTGGTTTCATTAAATAGCACTAACTATTATATACATGTCTTTGATACACATTGTTATATATAATCTAAACATGTCCATAACATTTTGAAGACATTTAGTAAACACGGAATCCAAATCCATTTGCTTTTAGCCTTTAGGTAAGTTCGTTTGTCTCACATTTCACGACTTTTCTCTTTAACCATGATTTTGTTTACCAAATTGAAAAGCTTAAAAAGTCTGTAGTTCCTGACTTTTATTGTAAAAATTGGTGAAAAATAAACGTGTTTTTAAAAAACAAAAAAAAAACTTAAATTTATTTTTTTACTACACAATTTTATTTCTAAGGAACTGTCTACTTGCATAACTTCGTTTGGTGATTTCAATTATGAATGAAATAAAGATCTCATGTTAAAATACTTTATGTTATCATGAGTGTCATTGCATTTTTCGGTCATCTATTCGATAATATTCTGTAAATATATTTGATGATACTCGGTGTTCGGTTCTTAGTTGACTAAACGATACTCGGTGCCTTTTTGATTATGCTATATTCGGGGCAAGTTTGTCTATAAAATAACTGAAAATAAATAATGGTTATTTAAAATATTTCATAGGGTGATTAATTTGGATTACAATTTCTTCACGATCAAATTAAAAATATATTAATCACACGATAGTTTATTTAAAATATTTGCTATTTCTTTACCGACTCATACATAGATCGAGTCGACAGCTAATAAACCACAATTTATTTTTTCTTTTCTTATTTATAGAACCTCATTAATTTGGTAATGGTGTCAAAAAACATAAGCTTTTAATTTCCTTTGTATCCCGTTTACATACTTTGTTCCATTTGTACTTTCTTTTAAAACAGACGAAAATCTTAATAAATCAGATATTTTCGTAAAAATAGTTTTATGATTTTCAAATAAATCTCAGACACAATAAGTGTTGTAAGTTACTTGTTGTCTCATCACATTTGCGGTGCACATGTCGCGACGATTAGTTAGAGCAGAAGTCTTATATTTCTTTGTGTGAACTCAGTTAATTGAAATACGTTCTTGTACTGCAAAATTATTTACAGGCTTCATACATTGTCTCCATATAATTAATTTATTTCAAACCTGCTTCATTATGAATTGAAACCTTGATTTAGATCTGAGAAATGATTCTAGATAGTCCTGGAACAATATAATTCCGTTTTGAAATAGAAATTACTTGCATATTTCATTTAGGTTAAATAAATAAATAGGCTTATAATAAAAGTGTAATTAAATGCAGCAAAGTCTAAGCATCTAATTCTTCTACATACTTAGATGACGAATGTCTCATGAACTACGTTCTGCAGCTTCCTTTAGCACATTTTATTAGAAAATATTACTTTTATAAAGTCGTAACAATCCTTCGGACAATTACTCACAGACTCACAGACGCCTTACCTCAACCCGGACCATTGTGTACACCTGTCCAGCTTACCTAATGAGTTAACTACGCAGCAATTGTCACGTACAGTATCATATTGTAATTAATAGACTTTGAATGTCATTTGTATGAAGTTTTTAGAGCGACTATCAACTGATATACATACATGTACTTATTGGATTGTGTAACTCGTAATAATCACGTGACCATTGTAAATATCCTATTTATATCAGATATTTCTGTCAATCATATAATTGGACGGCATCATATGTGACCATAGGAATGAATGAACTTAATGTCCAATAAAACTGATCCAACTTCAGGAACAGAACGATCCTTTAAATATAAATTTATAGACCGTACGTAATTTATTTACAATGAACTTTTATGTTTATCTATCTACGATTGGAAATGGTTAAGTTTTTATAGTTTTTAGGAAGGTACTTAAATTGTTTATTACCTCACGCATACATTTTGTAAGGTGGAATCCACATTAAACTTTATCGAGTTGATACATAAAAACATTTTTATATATTTGCATGTGGTTTACTACTGTTTTAGTAAACATCTGCGCAAAATATTCAATAATTTTCTATATGTAGTACGATTGAATAACTCTTTTATTATACAAAACTCTTGTAGAGAAAATATCTGACAATAAACATGATAGTTATATTGAATATTTAAAGATAAATCCCTAGTACAGCTATAATAAGAATTTACGACTTCCGAATAATTTTAACGAAGGTTGTGCGTGTGAGCCCACAGACAATGGCTATAACATTTTATATAGCTCTTTCTCTATTACACAACACACTTTTCATTTCATTGTTTTGACCGTGTATCTGTGAGTTAACTTACAATTTAAGTTCGATTATTATTTTAATTAAAATTTTGTCGAATAAAAAAACATGTAATAATTCCATCTATGTACTACATATATATAAAATATTAAAGATTTCGTGTACGTAAATCCTATAGTCCTATCTATTCTACCCATAATTTTTGGTATTATCCATACCTAATAAAACAGCGTTTTAACTATTAATAGTGTAAGTAACGTTATACAATGAGTAATTTTGTTCTCTAATATAAATGTATATTAATATACTCAAAAAATAAAATAACAAAGCGAGAAAGTTTACGTTTATCTCAGCACGTAAATATTATCTTGATGTAAAAATAGATCATCGTTGGTTGAAACAGTCGCTGATTTAAACTGTATCTTCAGGTCAACTAATATTCGTATATGGTCACGTAGAAAATAATTTTCTCATACGATATTATTATGAAAGTTATCTTAATATTTCCAAAGATTTATGAACGCAAAATAACTGAAGTAACTTAGAATGTAGTCTTTGTTTTCGTTTATTGTATGTAGCTCTTATTTCTGTTACTTTTGCATAAAACTAAATTTAGTTTTACCAAAGGGTGTCCGCGACTTAATACATTATCAATTTTATTAACTGCTCCTTGTGATAACAGTTTTCAAAGTATTTCACAGTTCGAACATTTCATTCACTGTACTCGTATATTGTTTGCTAGTTAGCATGACGTACGGTTCTCAGGTTTACCGTTATCTGATAACGATTTCGCCTCATTTGACTCAAGCTTTTATTTACTTACCGTTTACGTCTTGTTTACGAAACCATTTTATTTGTAAAAACATTATTTGAAATATGAATGACTCTATAAACAAAGGTTTATAGTGGCTATGCATTCTTACAAAATACTTAATTACTTACATAATTATCCCTAAATAGCATTAGTATAGCAAGACAGACGATAAATTCATTAATTTTGCTACATATATGAAACTTTGTTTTCAATTAATTTATTTTAAATATGTGTTTTAATGCTAAGTGGTATTATCCTAAAGTCTAGACCTTGATATGAATCACCATATGTAGACTATAATAGATAAAAAGCTTGTGATATGATGTCACCGATTAACTCACTAGCGCCGTATTGTAAAGAATTTATTTATTTTATTCATAAAATACTAACGTACATTCATTGTTAGAATCTCTTAGATAATGTTACTATTTAGTTCATATCCTTAAATTTTTTCTTTAATATCTTGCGTTTTATTTCAGTTCAGTTTAATAATCTTAAAAATTACTATGAACATACTTTTTACTGAGTCGTTTCCTTTCTTCCTCGTCCGGTTATTATACAAAAATAGAGTATTCCAAGTTATCACATCAAACGCATGGTGCATGTTATGACGTGTTTATTTGTTTTACCATAAGTGCACATGTTGATACTCTTACTACACCAGAAAGAATAGTTTTATACATATAAGAGCTATATAAAAATAAACAATCAAATATTCCTATTATAGTTACCTAAATATCTAAGTCAATTAGTTTTAAATGTTATTCATATTGATTACTGATTCAAAAGTTATGTAATTAATTACGCATCGTGTGAACACCCTACAGATTAGGTATACACACACACATACGCGTGCGGCGGCGTAGTGTTGTATCAGCACGCCGCCGCACGCGTCCACACTTGGAACACTTGGAACGTGTCCACACTTTATTTATTTATACGGAAATTTGGTCAAAAATTAAGTACCTATTTTTTTTACATAATTCGAATGAGAATCATGTACCGAGTATTCTCCTTAAATATTGATAGTAATTCACCAGTCACCCTGTATAGTTTTAAAGTAGATTTTATTGATATTTTTTTCAGTTAAAACTGAACGCTTTATATGAGATACGAACTTTTAAGATGTGTTTCAGTATAATTGCGATACAAAAGTTAATATTGTTATTAAACTAGTGTATGTATGTGTGTGTGTATATCAAAACTCGTACAATAAGCCCTAGTGATAATTTCTGATGCCTACATATAAACACATCAATTGTATCAATTAACAGTATTCCTTAATTTATTATACATTTCCTGTTGCTTGGCCCTGTCTGTCATTAAAAATAATTTACAACTTAAAAAGAGATAGCAGTAATGAATGAATGTCCCTCCATAATGTTTCTAAGGTTAAATGACTAAAGCACAGATGAATTAAGGCCAAGTATACTAAACAATGATTTGATATACATAGTCTCGTTTAAAATTATGAGAATCGAATGAAATTATGAAAATATTTATCGGTTAAGCTTAAAATATAATTATTATAAAATTCCAGTTTAAATTAAAATTCTCAAATCTAGACGAATTTTATCATAGAAATCACTACTTCGCGTGAAGAAATCTGCCAAATTACTTTTTATCGAAATTTCTAAATTTGTGAAAATTAATAGTCTTAAATTTATAAAACTATTAGTATTGTAATTTGTCCTTAAAATCAAATCAAGTTATATGATTATTGTAACAGATTTCAATGTACTCATAATGTCTTAAATTATAATTACGAAATACATCCGTTTCCGGGACGCAAAGACATACAAATAATACCAAATTTCCAATCTTATCGTAATATATGAGTCATAGGGTTTAACAAAATATGAATAATTGTTAATCAACAGATTTACATTCACAAATCGGCCCACGTGAGACCCATCATATCTTAGTCATCTCGATGAGGTCAAGGTGACAGAGGTGGTGAAAACATTGACTGTCGTGTCAAAATATGAAAATTTATGAACTCAAATTTTTAACTAACTCTAAAATTTAAATAACTCTGGAATTCTAACTTCTTTATATTACTGAATTAAATCAGGAATATGCTAAAATTTTTTATCAATAAATTCGTATATGTATACATGTCTAATTATGTATATAAATAATAAGTTCAATAATTTCCGAGAGATTCATTAACATCTATCCAGCATCAAATTTATGTTTCAGATTTATAAATTGTTTTATTAGAATAAATGTTGGAAATTGACGTATTTTTTTCATTGTTTAAGAACACTTTAATGCTATGATATACAAACTTGATTTGACTAGTAATTAATAATTATATAATTTCAAGTCATTTTCAACAATTATGTGTGCTAATAAAAAACAAACATCTGAATTAAGTTGGTCTCGTTTTATGAATATATGTTGTTCCATATAAAATTTCTTTATAACTAATTCCCCCAATCTTTTCACAGACAGAGGTACATAAGAATTTAATGTTTATACAATGCGACGATCAGTTAGGTTGTTAAATAAATTAAACCCGGAACATATTTTAATATACAGGCAACGTCACCGGAACACGTCGCATGAGGCGTCTGCTTGACTTTCAAATCGTTTATGATATTATTATTTTGCGTAATAAATAATAATACTTCGCTTATAGTCTTAGTTAAGTGGTTTAAATTTTGGACAAGTTATACACAGGTCAAATGCTATTATGAGTTTAAATTACGTTAAAGAAAAGTTTACAAATTTCTTGTATATGTTTCAAGAACTTCATTTGTATAACTTTTGAATGACAAAATTATAAAGGCGTTTGATATGGACAATGTTTAAAAACTAACAGTCTCTACTTTATAATGATATAGTATAATATTATTACAGTATTAATTCATTAAAATAATTCTATGTTAAAGAAATTACACAAACAAAGGGAGTCAGTAAACGTGTAAGTGAGGCGAGCTAATTCACTTCCTCTCAGGCAAGTTTTCAACAGCGTATACTGTGTTGCATCCGGGCTTACACAGAGCTTTTAAGAGCTACACGGCTAAGATATCTAGATTTCCGGTATATTTATATGTATAACTTAACATACATTTATGTTATAATAGAAATTATTTGTAATATATTAAATTTATTAATTTTATTTTAACTTTGTAACAGACATTTCCAACCGGTGTGGTATTCGATCTATTTTTAAGTTCCAAACGATGTTTTATGTTTTCTTCGAATTATACAAAATAAAACAAAATTTACCTGGAAATATGTTTGTATGTGAATTGTTTTGAAAATAATACTTATTTATTTTTGGTATTGATTATTGTTAAAGAGTATGAGATATGTAGATATTAATATATTGAATGTATGTATTTGTTTCAGTGGATCACCCCGGAAGAGTGCGAAGTATACTCCCGGGAGAGAAGACCGCCGCTAGTTATACCCCGGATCACTCAATATCGCCCGCCTCGGACCTCCAGACCGCAGATACAATATGCTGAGGTAAATTTATGTTATATTTGAAATTACCTTTAATAGTCCAACTAACGCAATGCAAATATGTTCCACAGAAACTAACCCTGGCTTTAGTAATATTTATATGATTTTCACAGTCCTAATCCTCTTATTTGTGATGTTAGTATTTTCCAATTAACTTGTCATAGATAGGATTACAGTCTATTTGAAATACATTCAAAGTGATGTCAATAGTTTGTCTATTCAAATATACAAAGTACTGTTAATTGGTAATAATTATTGAAATCATTTTAAAAAATTACACATAGATTCATTAAGGATTTCTGTATCTATATGTCTAATTTCATAGTATCCTTCGTCTTATTGACATTCGGTTAAATATAAAATAATGAGTATAAATCAATTAATTCAAACTAACTGAACAGTAGTCTAAAAGTAACTAAACATACAACTAAACAACAAACGAGGTAAGGATAATTGGTTGTGATAACACTATCGTATATCCTGTTTTCTTGACTTGGCCTCCGTGTTACTAAAATAGATGTTGCGGGGCCAGGAAAAATATTCAATGCATTCTATATTACAAAATCGATTTATTCATTTATTTCACCAATAAAGCATTAAGTTCTAATTCTCTCTACCATATTATTCAACCAATAAATCGTTTAAAACTACCGTCCGTTCGAGTGAGACGGAACATAATTTGCAAACAGTCCTAAAACAATGTGTCATGTCTCCAACGTACGGTCATATAAGGATGATTACTTTTTAATTATTCAAGTATACAATATGGTACCAAAATGGAGTTCGCGCCATCTCTAACATCCGGTGGTTGGTGAATGAATTAATGCGAATTTTAATGTGACGTTCAATGAAGTTAATATTTTAATATTATATTACCGAGACAAGCTAATTATCTGATTGGTTCTCCCTAAGTCACACAACAAGTTATCTCCTTGTAGCTCTCAGAAATAATGTATGCGCTTTAATTATCCCTGCGAATAAATTAAATCAATATATTATGTATATGCTTCGCGTTGTTTCAGACCACATCACTTAGTATTAAAATTGTTAACCACATCCAGTTTATAATAAACTTGCGAATTTTCATTGGAGTTGCTATTCCATTGTGATACAAAAACTATTGAACGATTTTATATAATAATAAATGGGGATTAGTCTAATAGTCATTTAATTAGCTAGCGAAGATGTGGGAAGTAGCTGTAGAGAAAAAATACAGATCATTTATTAATGCGCAGTAACTATAATGACAATTGAATGATCGTAAGAGGAAAAAATAACACAGTTTATGTACGATTTATAATATTTGTAGATATATTGTAATCAAGGTCTCTATGTTAATTTAAAGTTTAAAAACACATATGCTTAGGAATCTCATATTTTCTTTATAGTTCATTTATATTTTATTGCTCATGCGAATTTTATATTTTTGTTTTACACTTTATTTTATTTTCTGCTTTAGAATCTTTGATAACATTTTTTTTTCTTTCTTCTTAACTCTAAATTTACTCAGAACACTTACATTGTTATGAAATTCAACGTAAAGCTGATAAAATATTATTTAGTTCCTTTTTTCCACGTTAACATTGAGAATTGTCGGAACTACAACCATCTAGTGTTGATAAAACGCTAAAAAACTTAGCTCCATAAAACGCCAAGAGATGGCGCTTTTAAAATAAAATTTCATTAAACCATCAATCTTATATACAGCGAACCAATACTTTATTTATATATTTTAATACAAATAATTAGTCTGATTCGTACCAAAAGGCCACACCCACTTGTAATACGAAAGCTATAAAATTGTATTTATTGCTTAGAAATTAATTTAGCTTTCGACTTGATACATGTAGAACGTGTTAATATTAGCTGTATTGAATACCAACTATAATCAGTGTACCTAATAAAGCTAAGATAAGGAAGGCGAATGTTTCCCAACGAATCGTCGACCGGCCGTTGATAGTGGTGAGTGATGCGCTTTATCGATATCGATTGTTGGTTACACCCACATACTCGCACCTATATCCTGGCTGGTATACATTTAGTTGTGCTATCAATACCATATATATAATTGACTAGTGGTATCACCGAGTTATGTCCGTAGTATAAAAATTATGATTTAATCAATCGATATGCTTACAAATATAAAGGTGTAGCAAAAAGGATCTTATTAGTGTAAATGTAGAAGGCATTAAATAATTTCAATCGGATTTTACCTTGAAGGACGTCTTACCAAATATCGATATTCCAAATTTATTGTAAACACAAAATACAATTATAACAAATAAATCACATATAGTATGTATATAGATTAGTTGGTTGGAGTAGACGATACCTTAACAGTAAAACAACGCAGAGGACAAAAGTAACACAAAACCAGCCCGCATTAGCAATAATTCAATAACCGTAACATTAAGACATCGACTCTATAATTATCGTCGTGTTACAACACTAGCCTGTATCGCTGTTACGCGCTTATTCCGCCACAAATGTCGGTGCGTCACGTCGTTACATACTATATTATAAACTATTTAATTATTATTTAAAGTGTTCTGTGCTATAGTTAATAAAATGAAATTCTGGACTTGATATATATAATGTTCAATCTGAAACGTACGAAGACTTGGTTCCGGGAGGTACGTGGAAATTATGCTTAGATTTAAACTATTAAAATTATCGTTGATTCCGAGTAATCATATCAAATCTAATGTATTACATACATTGAAATTTTCACTTCCTTTCATATTTTTATAGAACGGCAAACTATACTGTAATTAATAATTTTATTGATTATATTCTGTAATTATATAAGTATTTAGTGATTCATACTATGTAAGGCATACAAGAAATAGTTTTATCTTCATATTAATTAATATTAATGCAAATTTTATAATTATACTAGTTTAAGCAACATCACGTATGACTAAAAGTGTGTACAAAAAATACAAGAATATCTGAATGCATTTAATATTTTTATATAAATTTTTTTTAATGTAATACTTACTAGTAATTTACATTAGCGAATATGGAAAGGAGTGTTTTTATTTTTGCATATGAATAGGGATTTTTTGTACAAATAAGGATGTTCATATAAATAAATATAACATTTTGCCCAATTGGTTACGTAGACAATAATTTAACAAAATGGCGTAAATGAGGAAAACATATCACAAATGTATACACAATTCTCCAGATACGATTTGTACATTAAAACGACTATTAAATTTAATTGATACATCTTTTAATTCCCATATAATTTTATATTAATTGGAAAACAATTTTATTCCTGAAAACAGATTGCACATATTGAATAGGGGTTGACATTCGTGAATAGTATTTATTTAAATTTTATACATATTCTATTTTTAACTCATTCCAAAAATAAGTTGACTTAAATCGTCAATATATTTACAAGACATCTAATAGAAGAGCCTTATATTCTTATTATGGGGTCTGTTGCCAAATATATCATATAATTATATACACTAAATGTTGGTATATTAAAATTTGTATATTTGTCGATCAGTATCAAAAGACAAGACCAAGATACTCACCAGCCCATGAATAGTTGCAAGACTATCTGCTCTTATTCTATAAAATATACTATTCAGTTAACAGTTTTGTCAGTTGTTTTTTTAACATATGACATGCTTTTACATAACATTCGTTCACGACTGATTGGCATTAAGTTCAGTTTTTATACATTATTTATTACATTTATATACTTCTTCGGTTATTGGGGTACACGGCTTTGAAGAGACTTGTCCCCAGTATAATCAATAAAGCATAAACAAAAGTACATACGTTGTAATTAATCTTGAAAAGTTTTACATTATAAATGGATAGAATTAGTTAAAAATCGTTACTAAGTACAATGATGCAATAATAAGATATTAAACAATAATTATTCCTTAGGAAACTCTACAAGATGTTCCGGCCAAGTCTTGGAACTGGTCGCCGACGTCTGAGCGGTCTCGTCTCGACTTGGAGCGGAGCTACACCAAGCCCACCTGCGATAATTCGATGCTATGGGCCAACAAAAGACTTGGTAAGAATCATATGCTAGCTGATATAATATTATGTGATAATGCTATGCGATTCTTTTTTGCGAACAGCCAATTCACTATTATAAATACTTCATACCTTTTTTTATTAAATACATTTGATTTGAAGCAAAGTAGAGAGACAATATGCTCAGAAAATATGATTTTGGGCAAAAATGAGTTAAAATTAGGCATATTTTATCATATGTAATCATAAACATAGAGAAGAAAAATATGAATACTATTGTTGTAACTATCCATGTTGTTTATTAATGTCGCACTATGATAAAAATTTATATCAAGAAATGTTCAATCGCAAAGCGAAATCTATGTTGCTAACAGCGAATCCTTTAATATACCTGTCCGAATTCATTTTTTACTCAATATATTTGTTATACCAAAATCTATAAGATCTTGGCTTGCTTCCAAAAACTGAATTCCACGAATAATTTATTTCTGATTAATAGTTAACACTCTTGATACGTTTTTCTGGTTGTATAACCGATAGATAAGCGTATCCATAAATATTTCTCTTACTGAGAACATTGCTAAGCGAATAATTCGATGCTAAAAGCGAATTTCTAATACATGAAACAGATTTGAATGATCTATTAATATCTAAAGCACTAAGGACATTTTATGGACAATGTTTTTAAATTAATTGAACATCGTGTCCAGTCCATAGTTTTTTTTTCAACTCTTCGTGAGACATCTATCATTACATTGACATAAAACAGAAGATAGTACACTTACGACCTGAAAAAGACAATTTTCGTACAATATATTTGTACAAAAATTCCATCATTTTAACTATTGCCAGTTTTTGTTGGTACCATTTTTGTTCACCAAGGACACCAAAACAGAGTTTAAAATCACAAAATATCTATTTCTCATCCACATTTCACAATTTTACAATTCACAAAACCACATTTCACTATTTCACAGTTCATGAATGATTTATTTTATTTAGTATTAATCGATCAATCGTCTGAATTTAATTTATTACTTAAAGAAAGCGACATAAATATGTAAATCTTCTGAATAGTGCAGTTAACTTTTTCAAAACTTGCGTGATTAGCGATTTAACTTAATATCTATATAACATATGCTATGTTAATTCCAGGAGGTTCGACGGAGAACCTGCTGGCTCCGCGTCGTCCGAACCAGCTACAGCTGCCAGCCTCCTCGTCGGGAGACAGCTTGGATGTGGAGGTCCGTGAGAGGGATCACCACAAGGAGAGGAATGCTCGCTCCCTCATGATGATGAAGCACAAGTCACGACCAGTCGCCTCCCCAAGGACTGTACTGCACGCGCCCATAGAGGTATATACTAAGAAAAAGAACATTTTTATTTGGGACCGTTCAAAAAATGTACGACAAAAAAATTTTGGTTTAATAAGACTTTTGGGGAATTTATACAATACTTGGAAAAGTTTTCAATATCGGTTGAAAATAAATCAAAAAGACAGAATGTTTCTTCTTCCTCCACCGAACCTATGAAGCAGAAAAGTATTTCGTATACTCCTTTCTTATTATTCCTTGTCATAACTATCGCTGTGATATAAGAACACAAAATTACTGATACAATATTAATTTTAAACAGCTAACATATCCATTAAACTAGAGTTTTTATCACCTACCAAAAATGTACATACATTTTTTCTGAATAAATACTGAATCTACTTAACTTAACAGGCGACAGTTCTCTTCGAGGGTCCAGTGAAACGGACGAAGTTCTTCGAAGGAGGGAAAAAGGCCAAGAAGAATTGGACCGACTGCTACATGATACTTACACCGACAGCACTGGTCTTCTATAAAGATCAAAGGACTTATATAGCTTCCGTGAGTATTATACTTCTATACTTCATAAACCATGAGAGTTTAATATTTTTTTACTATGAATTAATTACTTATATGTATTTATTCAGAAGTCATCCGGATCACCACCAAGTCCGGGCGGTGCGCGCGCTGAGCTCGTGTTGCCACTAAGGAATGCTCATGTCCTAGCCTGTATACAGATGCATACCAGGAGGTATATGCAAAAAAACATACTATATATATATAGCTATATGATATTTAAACAGAAGTATAGTATAGACTTAAGCTGAGCTTTGCATTTGTGTGAATGAAAATAGAGTTAGACAAAAACTTTTACAATTAAATATTATCATATTTTAAATAGATATATAACAAAAGTGCGAGAGTTATTCTAGATTAAAAATAAAATAAGCGAAATTTGTAAAAGGCGAGACGGAAATGTTATGAATATTATGGTAAAAAAATTAATTAATAACAATTTTGAAAAAATTATACAAAATCTTCTTCACTTGACATTGCGTTTTCAACATTTGACGTGCTACCATTACAAAGGATGAAGTGATGAAGGTAAGGTAGAGTAAAAGCACTACAAACCAGTACAAATCTATAAAAACACGTGGCATTCAAAAAATTTACATTACACCTACGAATGCAAATTTCAGCTTATGCCTCGCGTTCTATATAATATTGTTACATATTATAGCTATATATTATATAGCATATATTATATAGCTTAATAAACGTTCTATTACCAGGTATACCAGGTCGTTGGTGCTGACAGTGGAACATGATCAGTACTTGCTGCAAACGGAGAATGAGGATGCTGCACGACGTCTACTGGCTACAGTACACAACGTTATATACAAACTGGTACATATATACAACTAGCTTCGCCCGCGTGGACTTCGTTTATATCGCGTTTCCAAAAGAACCTTTCGAAAGTCTGGGATAAAAACTATCCTATGTTCTTTCTCAAGGTCAACTCCATCTTTGTACCAAATTTCATTAAAATCAGTTCAGCGGTTTAGGAGTGAAAGCGTAACAGACAGACAGACAGAGTTACTTTCACATTTATAATATTAGTATGGATACCAAGAATATATACATATATCAGCTATCCATAATTCAGTACTGACTTCTTAATGATTAAGGAGATGGATAGAAAATTGATCTAGAATAAACTTGATATCTTCTGGTAGGTGGTAGATGTCAAGTTAATTATAACTTTAATTTAAATAATCAAGTTAATTATATCTATTAAGATACCAAAATTCATAGGTTAGTATTGAGAAAGTACAAATAAACATTCTTAGTGGATTATTTAAATTATATCTAAGATAATTTTTAGTAAGAGTAAATTACATTTATACTCTATATAATTCTTAATATAAACTACCAGATTCCCTTTCTTTACTTATTTCACCATGCGATCAAAATCCTTTTCGTTGGATGCTGTATATTGATATAAATTATCTCTCAAGAGGTGTCATGTTTAATTTGTCCATAACATAACGTACATAAATAAACACACAATATATTACAATTATCATAGCCACAAAAGAACATTGTTGTGATGAAAACTCATTCATTTTTTCATCGTTTATAATCTGTGGCAATATTTTTCTGTCTTTTTAATCTGTGGTCATATTATATTTGTTTCCATTCACTCCAGGGTCCGCCAACTCTAGAGGATCGTCCTAGTCCTTATCAAAGCAGCAGCACGGACCTCGAGAGCCTCGGCCGGACCCCGCCTGTGGCCAGGCACAATCGCAAACAGAAAGGTGGGCATGAATTATAATCATTCATTCATTCATTCATTCATACGCCGAGCGGTATTACCGTATACGGTCGTGTTGATTTCATTCAAATGAATGAAATAAGTGGTAAGGAATGACGAAGAAATTAATGACGGAGTGTATTAAGATTATTAATGTTATGCACAAGTCGAAAGAATCTTTTATTATTTGAGATTGTTTCATTCATTTTTCCAATTGGCTAACTGGAAAAATGAATGAAACAATATAACAATAAGGATAAAGTTATTTTTTTATATTCGTCGGAAATATTGAACTGTATTGATGGAACTTGAACATTCATTCATTCGGTCTTCATATCTGGACTATTGTTTTATCAGAGTTCGTCAATGAATTCTTTTGTTTGACAAAATCGAATCATTCGTTTGATTCGTTGTTTGCATTCATATTGACACCTCAATCACACCTTCAATTGATTGACAAACCGGAACAAAAACTATTTATTCGGTATATTTTTTTTCTATTTCTGATTCATCTGTAAATTCTTTAATCTTGTATAGGCCTTGATAGTTTGTTAAAAAATTACTCCTTCATATGATTTTGTAAACATTTTCTCATATATATACAAATATATTAATTCTGCCTCTAATTTTAACTATTTTTTTTTTCAATTACAAAAAGCTGGATTGCCAAAAAGGTCGTATAAGTTGTACTATAATAAAATATATTTAATTCTTTATCGCTATCATATTCCCTATGCAGATATTATTTACCCAAATATATTAATGTTTTTTAACGATGGCTTCATTCACACTGGAATGATGAAATATTTTGATTTCTCCAATAAATATTTAAATCACACTGATATCTAGCTGTCACATTGACAGCAACAAATTAACATACCAAGAAACAATTGACACATCCATAAAACGAATTAAATGTATAACTGAAATGTTTTTTAATAAATGATTCATTTATTTTCCATATAAATGACGTTTTCCTGGTACCTTGTACTTATTAAATGCAACAATTATGTGGCTTGTAAAGTCGTGTTTAAGTACAGTTTTGTTATATACAATGTTGAAATGATATGTGGCTGTGTTAACGGTTTCAGGAGATTAACATCCGGTATAATTAAATTTATATATACATATATATGTTATTAAGTATATGATATTTTTAATTATATAATGATGTCATGGCTTATATAGCTATTAATGTGACATCAATTATCGGTCCACTATTAAGTCTTTGAGTTATCTGATAAAGCTGTGTTAGTGATTCAAATGTTGATAGTGTCCCAGTTGATATTAATTCATTATTTCGTTCGGACGATGTATCCATTAAATCCGCATTTATAATGTTCAAAGTGGTTTCATCCGCGCTAGTGTATACAAATCCGCATCATGAATATAACGTCGAGTGAAATCCGCGAAGTTTTGATGTCTTCAGATGTTAATTATGGAGAAAAATAAAAAAAGTCCCACTGATAAAAGTCCGTCAAGGTTAAGGAGCATTTTCGGTTCACAACATTTCACTTTCATCAAACGTACGATTTTGATATATTTTTTTATAATTATCAGATGTTTTTTTTATTGATTCTTTTTTTTCGTAATTATACTCAAAATGTGTGATTTAGAGATAGGTTCCATTCATGGTAAATATAAATGGTACGATTTATGATAAATTTAACCATAATAATCTATGATACGATGAGATATGATATGGCGTGATGATATCCAAATACGATTTACTTAATTATTTTTCACAATTCAATATTCGAATATTTTTAATATTACTTTTATTTTATCGATTTTTTTATTTTACTGCAACGTTTATATACCGTAGTAAAAACAATAAGCTAACATTTATATAACTATGTGAACTTATCGCCCACAATAAAACATTTCACTGTTATACGATAAGATTTTTTTATTAAATAATATATTTTTGATTCACACGTGGAACTTTACATTATGTATTTTTAGGTATTTCTTCCAAATTTGACGAAGTTCTGAGAACATATTTTTCTATTTATTCGAGAAAAGATTGCTTCAACGTATTTTGTGTTATTTTACTGAACCAAAAAATGTTTTTATCAAAATTTTAAGTAAATTGTCGTCGATGTTCGTTTCTAATTCCTCTGTCACAAGAGGGATTGTTATATTATATTTTGCACTTATACTTATAGAGTGATATAGTTTAATTTTCCAAAAAAAATATGGTATATTTGAAATCTTACAAATTTTAACCCTCAGAAGTTTTTTTATTCGCAAAAATCATTGTATATGGATTTTTTTTTTTGAATATCAAACAGCCAAATACTCGTACATAAAATTTCCTAGCAGGATCGTGTCAAAATTATAAGCCTTTTATCATGTTAAGCAAATTTGAGGAACACTTAAACAATGCAACCAAAACGTAATATAATTCCATATATATTTATAATGAACAAACAGCCTTCCATCTCTGACGGGACGGGAATACATACGTATCGGTAATTGATATTTGACACAGCAGTTCATAACTAACATGGTGTTCGGTGTAGAGCAGTGCATCATCTAAGGTAACGAAATTTTAGTTGTACACCTGTGTCTGTACGGGATGCTATTCAATGTTCCTACCTGCTGTCATTAACTTTCTTTAACTACCCCCTGGTATAAATGTCTCTGGTCTCCCAATTCCATTATATTGTTATAATATTACAGCCGGTGGCAGTAGCAATGAAGATTTGAGTGATTCGACGGAAGTTTCTATCCAGAAATCACACGTCCGAAGTAGGTTGAAGAAGTTCTTCGCGAAGAGGCCGGCTATGGAAGTTTTGGTGAAGAAGGGAATCTACAAAGGTCGGATATAAGTGATATATTATAGTTGCTTTGTATGGCTAATGGATTTTTGAGAGTTTTTTTTGGATTTGGACTAATCATCAAGGTAAGTATTGTACATAGTGTGCCATTAAATTGTATAATAGATCAGTTTGATGGACTGGATGGTGTTTTATTTTCTTTTCATTAGTACCTAGTTTTTATCCTAATTTCCTGTAGAGGTGGATGGTTGTTTGATATTAACAATAATTTTAGCTACGGTTTTTGGTTCAGTAGATAAAATGCGTAGATGGTTTGATTATAGATATTTGAACGGAATTTAATTGGTACATTAACATACAAACTCCTAATAGCTATCGGTTGTACAGAATCTTAGCATCAAAGAGGTAACGACGTGCGTAAGTAGACAACCAACGATTGGATTCAAAATTCAAGAGAAATCTCTAAGATATTATCACTAATATAGCATGTAGTTAATATTTTCTTATCATGGTCCAGACGAGCCGGTGTTCGGTCGTCGTTTGGAGGAGGTTTGTCCTCTCACTCCTCCGCGAGTCCCGGAGTTCGTGCGCGCCTGTGTACGAGAGATAGAAGCCAGCGATGACAACATGGCCACCGACGGTCTGTACCGGGCCAGCGGGAACCTCAGCCAGGTGCAGAAGATACGTCTCGAGGTACATACATACACACATTTACATATAATCCCTCATATTCTACATGATATCTTCTTCTACTCTAATTTTCCCAGCTTTAGCCAAGGTCTGCCTTACATGCTGTGAAAAGTTATGGCTATTTGTTTTTACGACCGCCCACCTGCCTGACATCAACCCTCTTTGGGAATGCATTAATCAGTGATGTCTAAATACTCTTAGAAAGTAGATATGACTCGGAAAAATCACATTGGTACTTGCCAGGAACGGACCCGTGTCCTCGGCAACGAGAGGCGAACCCCTTAACTAGACTTCCACTGACTTCAATATGTATCAATATCATGTGCAATATAATGTTTTTCACAGATTGATCAGAACAATATGTCGGTGATTGAGAACAGCCCTGATATCCACGTATTGACGGGTTCCTTGAAGCTGTTCTTCCGCGAACTGAAGGAACCGCTCATCCCTTGCTGTCTCTTCGATCGTGTGCTGGCTGCCTGTTGTACGTCACTGATTTATATCAAATAATCAAATAATAATAGTATTGAAATATATTTATAATACAATTTATCTTTATTTCCCAGCTATACGTCCAAGAGAGGCCAGGATCAGGGAGTTCCGTGATATAGTGCAGTCGCTGCCGCAGTGCAACCGGGATACACTGAAATTCCTACTGGAACATCTATTGAAGTAAGTATACCTATAATAGCTGACTGAAATCACCACACATGATGCTAATATATCAATACCTATTCAGAGTAACCCAGTACAGCGAGCGCAATAGAATGCACACAGCGAATCTGGCCATAGTATTCGGGCCTACATTGCTATGGGCCCCAGCGGAACAGGCCCATAATATAGCCATAGACTGCATCCAACAGAACAACGTGGTTGATGTACTGCTGACTGACTTCAGAGAGATCTTTGATGGCACCAGGAAGAAGACGTGAATCATCTGCCCCAAGAAATATAATACTGATCAGATAAACAAGATCAGCATCCAATGATTATAGTCCCATCATCACAGCTATCAAGTGATCAAGTGATCACCAAGTTTCATCGTCTATGTTAGTTGTATCGGTCTATCGTGGTTGTGTACTCACCAGGAGTATCTATATTCACACTGAATACAGGAGTTTTTAGATTTTCTTCCATAACTTGAATTGATGCCATCAATATAAAAAAAATGTTTAATGAAACTGAAATTGGTGAGTATTCAGTCTGAATATAAACTCGTGGTAAGATCACTGCTATGTAAATGTATACTATATTCTATTATAAATGTTAATATACCAAATAAATAGCGATCATTACTACCGTCGCCTTTATGTATTGACGTTGTGTTATGTATATAATATACTTATATGGATGTCATGTATACATAGATATAATATATGTTAGTGTCTCCGATCTCTTGTATTAAGACAAATTATAATTCGACCGTCTATCATCTATAATTCGATGTGTTGCATATCTATCTTCAATATAGGTGTTGTGATCGTGAAGGCATACGTGGAAAGACTGCGAGGAGGGTAGATTAAAAAAAATATTTAATATATATATTAGTAGATTTATATTTGATCGATGTGATAAATTAAAGTATCAAGTGTAATCTTTTATTTTATTATTTTGGGGCCAACCTGTATATAGGGACCGGCTTAGCCGTCTCGTGCCTTGTGCATGCTCTTGTAAATATTCATCATGGATGACTTATATATAGTTTACTTATGTTCTAGAGTCGATACTCTTATGATTCGCTTGCAAGTGACCCTCTAGTCCTTAGTTTCTGGACTTCCGTTTCAAATACTACACAGATGTATCATTGTAAGCTAGGAACCAAAGTTTTTTTTTTATTTCGTCTGATAGTTTAACTATATGTAATAGTTATTGTGTATTTTATTAATATTAACTCGATTAATGCTTTCAATTAGACGAAATGACATTAAATAAAAATTACTTATTCCACTTTGGGTGTTTCATTTATTTTGTTCCAGTTTTGTTTAAGGTACCTACTGTTGATGTAAGTTTTACGTCCTCATGATGATCTTTGAATGAATTCTGTCACCGGTTCTCACTTCTGGAGTTCTCCTTATATTAGTTGTATTTAAGTAAACTATTCAGCATGTTTGAAATAAACAGGAACTTTTCCACCCTCTTTATATAAAAGATCTTGTCATATATATTTTTTTCCTTTATAAGAAAAGTAATATGTAATCAATAACTCATCTACGTTGAAAACAATTATATGAGACTTTATTTCGATTCATAATAGTTAAGTTTGTATAACTAGAAATTACCTATGAATAAAACAGAAAATAAAATTAAGTCTCCAAAAGAAACATAGCTATTAAAAATATATAGGTATTTAATTCTTATCAAAACAAAATTCAATTTCTTTTAAATCGAATAGCATCGTATAAATAGCACTTACTCAGAAATAAAATATAAACGAAATGATTTTATTAAACAATAAACCTGGATTTCTATTGCAAAACCATTTCACAATAAAATTAATGAAATAGAAACATTTGTATCACTTAATTGTATAAATGACATTTTACGAGGCGATAACAAAACCACTCGAGTAATGTGAAAAGTTTACTGATCTAGAAAACTTAAATAGAATATTACGAGCTTGAATAACATTAACATAATGCTTTTATTTTTATATATAACTAGTATTTATTACATACGTTTCACTATATATTTAAGCCAGTACATAATAGTTACTGGTTGAGCAACAAAAATAGGTTATTAAGATTTTTGAGATTTAATCTTAAATGTTTTTTGCTAATTGGATTGGAAATAAAATCCCTTATAATCTGCTTTATGACTCATTGAGCATTTAGGAATTTTAAGGTGGACAAAATAAAATAAGCCTCGTTTGTCTTTTTCAATAATATAAAACAGCATATATATCAATTAAGCTGAGGTACTGGAGAAACCATACCGCACTATTGATACTAGTTGATAAAAAATGTCTGATTTTTGCTATTATCATTTTAAATAACTCGAATTTAAAATAAATGGCACGTAATGTGTACGGCAATAATTATTAATTGACTTGAAATAAATTGACACTGCTATAACATTTATTCAGGGGTTTATATATTTTTATTGTATGACTACCGTTGTATAAATAAAAGACATTTATAATAAAAACAATTTTTATTCACGCGGTAAATTTGTATGTCACCAAAAACGAAACCATTTATCTGCCATTCTTTAAATATTACGCAGTCTTATTTTTTTTTTCTAAATTCTTTTCGGACACATTTTATGATACAATAATTACAGGAATGTTTAAAATTATACAAAATCATGGCTCAGTTAATTCTCAGCCATTACACAACAAAAATTATTACGTATCTTAAAACAACAATGAATGTAATTTATTCTATTGAAATAATATTAAAATTATTTACGTATAGTAAAAATTATTCTAAGATATTATAACACAAACAGTTATACATTTAAACACATATCCATTACACTTTGTGGGCTTGTTACATACATTTCTCGATACCTCCTCATTAACGATCGATCTAAACGAACCAATCAATGTTAATATTTACAATGTAATTCAAAAACGCTTTTACACCGACACCCCCAGCCTCGCCCTGCCTCGCCTTCTCTACGACCATGATAATTTATAGACACAACTTGCAATTAATGAATTTAATACAATATAAAAAAGCACATCACTATAACGTAATCAATAAAAAAATATATGTCAAGAAAAAAACTATAATATAACTTAAAATTAAAATATTATTTTTTATTACAAACATATGATAAACATTATTCACTATGGCAGGCTGATTTATATATGGTCAAAAACTATAATGCAACTAAATTATAATTATAATCGAGCAAACACTCCTTGAGAAGCGCATGTTCCAATCAATTACATATATTTATTTATCCTATTTTACAACAGCATGGTATACAAAAATTTTTACAAATATATAAAAGTGCGTAAAATGTTCCAAAAATGTGTTATAACAATTCAATTTGTTCGCAATACCATAATATATTTAATAACTAACATTGCAAAGTAAATGTAACATTAATCAGCCATCCTTATATATATAGCAACACTGAACGATAATAATTTCCGAGATTATTGTGATACACAAGCATTTGTACAATGAAATACATAAATGGAACATGACACTTGGTTCCGATGATTAATTAATCTATTGGCTATTAAGATTTATTTGTTTCAAATTGTATTTGGACTCTGTCACTTACTTCTCTCTATAGAGTTTATATCTCATGTCCCATTAAAGGTAATGTCCCAAATGTTGCTATTTATAAAAAATACATAATGTATATGTACGTACAATTTTAAGCTCTATTTTTTGTTAGCATCACCTTATTTAGCAAACTTACTAGTTACATTCCAATAATCAGTTAATAATTAATCAATACAAATCTACTATAACATCGCATGTGACACCGTAACAGAAAAACATTTATTTTGACCGTCCGCGAGGAAAATGCTGTATAAGCCGAAATTTGTAATCGATTAATAACTGTCAGTCAGATAAGTTCATAACAAATCGTCCTCGGTATGATAATGGTCTTTTTTTTATTTTGTTAATGTCAAGGTAATCAGGGAGCTAGAGTGCCCTTGAGCTTCGTCACGCGAATTTGTAATAGAAAACAAATAATCATAAACTGTTACCTAGTACCTACCCTCATTATTATTATATCATGACTTTTCACTGAGTTTACTGTTTTTTGTATGGAATAAAGTATAAACGTTTAATCATACTTTGGCACACATGTAAACATAATATTTTTCTGCAATGGTGTATTGCGATCCGATAATATTACACTACACACAAAATTAGCAGGATGTAAGCGGGGTTCTCTATAACAATAAAAACTCCGTAGAAACTTATCAGGAACATTTTAATATAAAACAAATTATAATACAATTTACTAAATCTAATAACATTTTAACGATAAAAAGCACGTTTGCAGTCTGCAGTATTAACAACGATCTCCCGGCGTCGACTGCTATATCTCGTCTGAGTCTGACCTTATAGAGTCATAATTGGACGTTTTGCTTTTAAGCATTCGGAGGAAGGAGCCTACGGCGAAAATCGTCCTTCTGTGTCTATGAAATATACCCTGATACAGTGCCTCCCTGAGAGCCTTCCTGTCATCCGACATTGAGGTTTGTGTGCTCAATGTAACGTCTGAATGAGCGCCAACCGACTTCTGATGTCGCAGGCTACCGTGTTTCTTCTCCAAAGACTTCTGATTCGGCAAGCTCATTGTGGATTCTATTGAGGAATTCTTAGTTTTTCTCAAATTAAGCATTTTCTTTCCCGACGACGACTCTGAAGAGGATCGACTGGGCGCTAATTTTGATCTGTGCAACGGATTATTCGAACTTTCCGGGTGGACAACTAGATCTACAGATTTTTGACTAACAGCACTGGACCGTGTGAGAGTCCTTTGTGAACTAGTAGGCTCTACCTTGGACATGACTTCCTCTTTGGATACGGATTGCTCTGATTCGATTGCAATCATTTTCTAGCATAACAAAACAGTTAATTTGTATAACAAGTTTATTTACAGTACTCTACTGTCACATCATAGGCGGCCGCGCCTCTTGAATGCTATCAATAGAAGGTACGGTGAGATGAATGACGACTTCTGTATTGTTAGGAACGTCCAGTTGAGAGCGAGCCTCACAACAATTGCTGAACGTTATTGTCGGTACATTTGCATCGCTAACGATCTGGATTGTGTTCAAATTTTCCACCAGACAGTCGAGGTCCGATACGTTCTGTAAATATCTTTTATCGGAGTTTGCGCTCATACTCGGAGCCGGCCATTCCTTATCGTCACAACCTTCGCGCTCCACATCCGGAGAAGGACCGAGGTCGTCGCGGAAGGTGGGTGATACACCTTCCCCGTTCACCTGTAAATCTATCAAACCAGCCAAGTTAACGCTAAAGTTGCTTCTGGTTGTTGTTTGTTCATTTGTTCCACGAATTTCCTCCGCTATTATACGATCAGTGATCGTCGCGATTTCTTTCTGTAATAATTGATCGTCTTCATAAAACTCCGACAGTCCTTGAAGATTTTCGTACCAATTGTTTTCTAGTAAGCTCGTGGTTGCTTTGTTACGTTCATCGGCAGTTTCTTGCCGGTATTTATCGATGAGCTGTTGGAGAGATTCCTCGTGCTGACGAAATAGTTTCTGATAAGCCTGACTGACGGTTCTCAGTGAGTAAAGAGACCGTGGTCTTGGAAGCAAAGAAGCTGAAGGAGAGTGAGCGGCAACGCTTCCTCGCCACACGAGCCCGCGGGCGCGCTGCCACAGTATTGCATTAGAATTAAGAATCCTTTCAAAGTCTGTAACTTGTTCGGCTTCACTTATCTGCAACAGCAGCTTGTTTTCCGTCTCTTTCCTGCATACAGTGTGACACAGTTTCTTCTCACCCGCCTGTTTAAGATTAGAATACTTATTTCTATTATCGATTAATTTTGTCGGATGCTTAACATTATTAATATCGGAGGTTGAATGTTTGGAATCAGGGTTGTCAGCGTAAATAGGTATAGATAAATTTTGAATAGATACATTGTACGGTATTTTTTCGATGACTTTCCTTTTCTGTCCCTTGACAACGACGTTACTGACTTTAGGGGGTCGTTTGATTTGACCAGATGAAGGCTGTTTATGAAAGTATTGTTTATCGGAAAATCGACAACGTAAGGAATCAGCGCTACGTGTGTTCCGAGCATGTTGGGACCTCGGATGTTGCGTCAGACAAACACTCTTCGCCCTCAAAGGGACCTCGGTTCTTTGCTCTCTAATCTCTGCAGCCAGCTTGATAAATGATAATATTCAGAAACCAAATAAAATCAATCGCCGTGAACGTATTCGAGCGAGCGAGCGACCGCAGTGATTCCAACTGACTGTCTGCAAATCATGCAGTGCTTTCTTTGAAAATTGTATGAACGTAAAAAGTAATTTATCGTGTTGGCGTGCTGTGGCCGATCGATTTCTTCAGTATGGCTGCCTAAACAGAGATGGGCATAAAATTTGCCGAATATACGATACACGGTACCGATACACCCTTACGATATTACAGTTTCGTGGGGGAACGCAAAGCCATTTTTTTCTTATCTAACTGCTAATAAAATCCTCTAGTCACGAGATTGATTTCGACAATAAATAATGTTTTGTTTTTGTTTGACTTGAATGTATTTTTTTCTATAACACGATACCAATTTATTCAATTTGACCTGTTTCAACTTTATTTTACATGTTTTAGTTATTATAGTAAGTCAATGGTAATAGTGAAATAGAATTTTTTCGCCACGGAGCGCAACGATAAAGTATTAGATGGTAACTGATGGTTTATGTATAGATATTATGGTAATAAAAATTAAGCATAAAATGCATAAACCAATTAAAAGAATGTATGTCAGTCGGATGCAGCGTTGGCGGCCGTCCAAGTTCGCCACAAAATCACGAATAATAAGGAAACAATTTACCATCCATCCCTCAATAGACTTTTGAAACGTATAGAAATAATATTATGAGAAGTAAATGACATATATGAAATCTATTTAAAGATAAACTAAATAAATATGCGACGGATGCAAGCTGTCTACATGGATTTTAAATTTAATAATGTATGTATATCGGATTTAAAGCTTTACATGCATAATGTAGTTTTGGGATAAAGTTGAAATGTATGGAAATCAACGCTCGCTAACAAAACTATAATTGAATCTATCCATTTGTATAGACAGCAACGTAAATATTTTTTTCATGCATTGATAAAATTATACGTATCCCTGAATACAAATCTATTTATACAGTATGAAACAAGATTCAGAATAATTTTAATATGAAAATAAGGGTGCAGAAAAAAATATATCATAGTACATAATATAAAACTATACCTAATCTTTGATATTTATTTTCGGCGCCCGCGTTCCACATTAACACCAATAAAAATTCCTCATGTGACGTCATAATTTTTATATTATATCACTACGTGCATAACCACTGTCCATCGCAAATAGCATATTTCACTTACAGCGTTTTATGTTATAACCACAGGACAGGGGAGTGGTTACTGGCTAATGGAACGGACAAAATTTATTAAAATTAATAATAAAACCACCGTTAATGGAAAGCTAGCGAAAATAAAATATTGGTTTTGCTTCATATATCGAGAGCTTTTTAAGATAATTGAAGTAGGTATGTATGTGACATTTATATGTTGATACATTTTTTACGCTTCGGTTGTATGATACGAGGTCGTAAGTAATCAAAAACAATAAAAACTAAAACTAGGGTCAATAGTGTCATGTGTTAAACGTTATGGCATGTTGTTTAGGCTGTTCCGATCGATATAAGCTTATATATTAAATAGAAACTAGAACTATCATATTTGTTACGTAAGCAATTGCATATAATATAATTTCTATTTATGTACAATTATACTAAATGATACGCTTTGTCCTAATAATAGAGAAATAATATGATTGGAATCGTATAATTTGCAAATGATTTTAAATTATCAATTTTGTCATCTAATGTTATTTTAAGTGGCACATAGACGTTATACAATCATTTATAATACATTCGCGATGAAGGCAAACATATTTAATATTTATATATGGTAATTGTTTATTTAAATTTTTTACATAAGAAAAATACATAGCGCGATATCATTTTAATAAAACGAGCGTTTCCTGTTTTTTTATCACTTATTCATGATATTCATTCTCGTTTATTAAAATATTTAATTCAACAAAAAACTTTTTAAGAAACTAACAACTATTATTTATGCTTCCAAACATTCAACCTCGCAAATACGTTAAAAGAATCTTTTATTTTTATTATGACCCAAACAAAGGATGACAATGGAAAATTCATCTTTCATGTAGGTTTTAATTCGGTATAATGACCCACTTACCAGCGATCAAAGAAGGCTTACACGAAGGCACTGTCAATCTTAATTCACCACCACAACACGACCAGTTACATATTTAGCTGAAAATCAATAAATCCGCCAAGAGGACTGGCAGTTATCGAAAATCGCTGCGAACTAAACGTCCATTCAATACTGGAGGAGACATGCGTAGAACGCGCGGGGATGTGCAATGACGCGCGGGAAATCTGACGTTTGACTTTTTAAATATAGATAATTAATGTTGTTTACATTTGATAAGAAATTTTATTTATTCACTCGGACTTATATTAGCGAATAAACAAAGGCTTAACACTATTTACATATAATATTGAGGTTTTATTACTGAACTAACTGAAATTTAAGTACAGTCTTTGAAAGTGCTTATTTTTTTAAGTTATAATAGTTGTAATAATTTTAAATAATAAGTATTCATTTCATACACAGCAGAAGTCTATAATTTTTAGCAAGAATTAAAACAATATTACAAGTCTAGAGCCGGACATTTATAACAGATATTTTACTTAAAAATAAGTGCGTTGCACTGATGGAATGAAAAATATAGATACTTCGAATACAATTTTTCCCAGTAGCAATAAAATACCTTCACCTTATTAATATGTATAAACAACCCCGCCAACTCGGTCAAACGCCCTTGTATAATGCTGCACAATTCAAAGAAACCTTATTCTTCAATGCACCTAAACATCGAGGAAATATTAAAATATCCAGGGTTATATCTCCCCGACCTGACCTATACTGTCAGTCCTACACCACTGATTACTAGTTGTGAGTATTATGTAATAAAATATGCAACTGAAAATAATGAGGATCGCGTCAACGGAAATGATTTTTTTTAATTAAAAATACTGGAGTTTTTTTTTTAATAATAAAGGCATTTTGTTTTCTTTAGAAAATGCGTGCATGCGTGCGCGCGCACGTGAGTGGATGAGTACGCGCCTACGTGGTTGCGTCAATGTGTAAAAAACAAATTGGTTAATATAACTATATTTACAACTTCTTTTCAATTCTATCAATTTATTCAATTTTAAAACGAAAATATTTATAACAACTCGTAGTACAAATTCAACGATTTTTCTTAACTTTTGCTTTTTTTCTTCAAAACCAATTGTTTTGATCTAATATTATTTAAACACCTTTATGTTAAACTACTTTTATACCGTCACATTGTTAGTTATTTGGTTGCTATAAGGCGGCAATTAAACTTTGGCTAGACTGTAAATAAAAGGAAAATTCATACATACATACCAAGTAAATCCTAAACATAACCGTATGATATGTGCAAATGTACTTTAGATAGTGAAGGTACATTGGACAAATATTGCAGCTATTGTAAATATTTATAAAACATTTAATATATTATCTAACTTAAGACACCGATGTCATTGAAAACACAAATTTAAAAAGTTACCTATGTTTTATTTATAACGGACCAAAAATGTCTACCAAAGAGTTTTTACTCTTGAAAACAGTGTAGTATAAATTATGAACCCAATTTGAGGTGAACACAAATATTTTTATACATATAAATATAGCAAAAAAATTATATGAATCAAGAAATTATTTTATTACGTTGTTATAAAATTGTATCTATAGAAATGACATTGAAAACAAACTGTGTCTTTCATTATATAATTCTTATATAAGACAGCCCTGGACGTTAATATTCAAGATCTAAGTAATCTTCAATAAACACGAAACAGCCAATCCAGTTTATTAAGCAATCAAACTTCAATCGACAAACCAAATAAAACGTGTGAACAACCTCGCCGAAGTTAAACATCGGATATCACTGACGCCAATTGCTTATATTCTTAAACGTTTCCAATTAAATAATTCACAACAAGTTTCATATTATCCTTGTTTTTAATTATTGACAGAGTAATATTCCATTATTTTTGCCGCCCTGAGAGATATAAGCAGCAGTCGGTGACGTAAATTTTCAGTCTATTCGCGATGATGACTACGCACCTAATAATAAACGATAGTTTGAGGAAATTCATTTTATTGTATACTTGTTGCTCCACGCAGCTTTGTTGAGACTGTATAAAACTGTTTTTCTGTTTATTTTAAGCTACTAATTGTTGTAAATGTTGACCGGAACTAATATCCTATACACTATTTAATCAAACAAAGTTCGAATTGATAATATTATTAGGACGTAAAGCGACTCTGTAACTTCAATACCCTATTATACTCCGTGGGAAGACCAATTTAGACCGTGGACACTATTCAATATATTGCAAGTTGCAATTGGATTCAAGGATAGTCGAATCAACTCTTGTTAGAAAAGAACGCCATTTTAAATTGCCATCCTAATGATGTTATTTATGTATTACAATTTTATTTTCTTGTATTTTTAAAATTTACAGAATATTGTTGTAGCGGATAAAATAACATTGACTGTATAATGCCATGCTGCTCTAGTTATTTAGTCGAATTATTTAATGAAAGAAAAAATTGTGTAGCTAAATTAAAAAGCTATATAACTCAAAAATGTACTACACACAAATAATATATATTTAATATACTTGGCTTGCATAACAATAACACAATTTTTAAGTCCTTATGAAGAATGACGGCTTTTATATAATAAACAATATATAATTTTATTCTAAGACTAAAACTGACATTCTTTTGAGAAAATAAATTCTAGGTATAATTTTCTATATAGTATTAAAGTGTATTTTAAAACAATCGAAAATTTTATTATAAGTGAGAAAGGCAAAAATGATTTAAGCAGCTCTATTGAGTTTTATGTTTCCATCATTATGTACTATTCACGCCTCAACTCGAGTTTTGAAGAGATAGTCAAAAGTTTTCTATTAAAATTTTTTGCCATTTATTGAAGGTTGTCTGTGTTTAATTAGATTATGAAAACTTATCGTAAGTTAAGCTTCATAATATATTAATCCCTGTTTTATCATTTTATATTTATTTTCGTCTGTTCCGTTGTCGTTTCTTAAAAAAAGTACCAAATAACTCAGATACCTATTTACTGAATGACAGGAAAATGTACATGTAATGTTAAGAGGATCTCTGGTTAAAAACTGCAATTTCACGGGAAATAACATACGTAGGATAATAATAGACGATTGACTTTAATTTTTAAGTGAATCACATTGCATGTGACATTGTTTTCTTCCCTTTTGTTGCTGGTCTGAAACGTCTGGACGTAAAATGTAATGAGAAGTGCCTACTTTAGTTATAATTAGATTCTGTTTTGCCAACCCTATTAATATTGTAATAACCATTTCGAATATGTTACAAGGACAGCTTATTAGTCTGAAGACGGTAGGGTCACACACTAATAAATTTGAAGGTGAAATACTTTAATAATGTACAGCTTATATATAAATTGAACTAGTCGTGAAGCAGTAAACGCTGCACTTGTCTGGTATCGATCCTTATATCTTATTAGGTAGTTGAAACCCGCCCCCGCATCGGAGAATTAAGAATATGAAGTGTTCAGTCGCAAGTATTTATAGACATCGTAATATAAATTTGAATACGTACCTATAACTGAAATGTTGCTAGTATGACGATTGTTAAATATTGCATTAATGTAATTTGACATACATAATCTTTTTTATTTTAAATAATGTAAGTATAATTTATACGTAGAAGACACCTAATAGAAAGATTTTTATTATACTTTACAATATCATTTGTTTCAGTAAAGTTTGCCTGCTAGAAATATTCAATTTTGATTTTTTTCCAAATACTTCATGATAATATAGTTGTACTTGTAAAATGTACTCAAAGAATTATTCTGTAATAAGTACAGTAAGTACAAGTATAAAAAATCTATATTAATTATTACACTTTAAGATATCTGTTGATAATAATATACATATAGTAAATAGAAAAATATGTTATAACCTCTAATTTCTGTAAGCCAATTTCTGTAAAACCCAGTAATTTTAACTCTAATATCAGTCCCAAGAAACATGCTCTTTTATCCAAAAAGATATACTTAGTCTCGCCATAAATTTTGTTATAAATAAAAATGGGAAAATATTCCGTTAGAATTCGGAATCTGTTATTTTAATTCAAATATTCACTGTGAATTGATTATTTTGTGTTATATTAACCTGAAATATAGTTGGGGATAAACAGATTCAAATTTTATGAAATACATAAAGAAAGTATAGACTATTGAGCTTAATACAATTTATGCAATCTTCCATAGTTATTTTTTAAATGTTAGTGGTCCCTTCTATCTGATGCAATAAAACCTCTTCTGTGTGTGATAGACAAAAATCTGGCCGTCCACTTAATTTACAAACGAATAAAGCCACCAAAAAAGTAATTGCAAGTTGTAGAATTACTGTTTGAAAAATCAAAATATTTTGAAGACCATGTTACGTCTTTTCAAGATGGTGTAGGCCTTGCAATAGCAATAAAAAAATATATACGGTGGTAAAATCAAAATAAAGGAAAAACTTTGTTTCTGCATGATAAGTTTTTACCGTTGAACAATATTTTAATAGTAAAATTACCGTATTTGTACGAAAACCATTAATTAAGTTCCCATTTAGCCAAAAAAATACAACGTAGGCCTTATTCGAGTTGAATGATAATAAGAATGGTCCAAACAATCTCAGTAATAAATGAACGTTCCATACCTTATTAGAGCTAGCCATTACCTTGTACTGATGTTAATTCATTCGACAATGATATGTGGTTAGTTCTAAGACCATGATAATTTGGGAGTCTCTAGAAGACTCCAAGCCATTTACAGTGAGGAATTTTCCAATGAAGAGAGTGCCTACTATTAATAGCTGTCCCCAACGTTTAAAGGATTATTAATTTTAAATTACTTATTTACTTACTATTTTAAAAATATAATAATGAACACTGAAGTTTTTAATAATAATTAAAGTAAATGAAATCTTTATTTTAGTTTCTAAGTCATAAACAAGAAGGTAATCATGGTTTTTGTTTAAGAAATAAAATACCTTTAAGAAGTCTATAAGAATTAAAGAGACAGTAGGTATTCGATAAGCTCCGCTATAAACCAATATTTGATTGACACTTCGTATTTTTGCTTGTTCGTGTAGAAAACTAATACGATAACAAGCTTACAAAAATACGAGGGGTGATCCAAGAGTAATGATTATCAAAATAATACGTCGGTTAAAGTTACAAAAATAATTTATTTTCTGTATGGTCAAGAAGTCAATAGATTAAGTAAAAGTTTTTTTAAACCTAGGATTTCCTCCCAAAAGAAACTTTCAATATCACAATATACAACTGATCAGCTGAAATCACTTCTCTACCTTCAAATTTCTGAAGCAGAGGAAAGAGAATTGAATAGGAGCTAGGTCTGGCGAATAGGGAGTGTTTTCAAACAGTTCGAACCTCGGTTCCTCAATGACAGCCCTACCTATCGCTTTTTTTTGAGGCGATGTGTTGTTGTGGTGAAACAGCACCCCAGTTTACAGTTTGAGAAGCCTTGTTTCTTCAATGGCCTCCTGTAATCTCCTTATTTGATTGTCGTAGTAAGAGACTTCCTCCAGCGTCCTAAAAAAGACAAATAGACGTTTCTAACACATCGACAGTTTTTTGGTTTCCAGGTCAAAAGAGTACCCAGATCTCGTCCATGGTTACGAATCGTGTCATTAAATATTCTTAATCGCCTTGGAACTTCTCAAGATTAACCCTAGAAATGTCCACTCGGTTTTCTTTTGCTGCTCTATTAATGTTCGCGGTATTTAAAGCGCATCGACCTTCTTCATGTACAACTCATTGGTCAAAATTCTTTAAACGCTGCCATAATAGATTCCTATCATCTCATCATCATGATATCCGATATCTTTTCGACAATCTTCAGTGACGCACAATGATGGGCGACCTTCGGTATGTTCTTTTTCTGTGGATGTTTAACAAAACTTAAACTCCTTGGCTCAAGAGTAACAACGTAGAATATGAGGTCAGGGCCAATGTAAGCACCAAGTACTTGTGAATGTGTTTGGAAGACTTTTTTTAAGGATATATTATATGTCTGCCCTGATTTCATTATTCTCCATTTCTTTATTATACTTCCAGTTGTCAGTATTCGAATTAAAGTATGAACTAATATTAATAGGTCCATTAATTTTTATATGATTTTTTAGAAATACCTGATTATCATTACTTTTGGATCACTCTTTGTATACATATGAAAGTACAAATACGATAGGATGGTACAAAATAAAAGTGTTTCAAAGCAATACTATTTTTATTTGGCAAGATTTGATCACATATTTACAAAAAATTGTAGCCTCCAAAAACTTATAATAACATCACTGTTGCTGTAACAACATGATTTAAAACATAGCACAGCTGCCAGTGTGATCTTAAAACTATATTGTATAAAAAGTAAATGTATATAAATAAAATAAATTAATTAAGTACATCATTGGTACATCACTTTGGATTTTGAGTCTTTATAAATAACAAAACAAATAAGTAAAAAAAAGAAAGATTATTATGCATTTCAAGCAGTAAGTGTAAAACTAAATTATAAGAACCTTTAGATTTATACTTATATGTTAATTATGCCTATTTACATTTATACTTATAAAATATTTGAGATGAGATTTAGAGCAGAGATTAATTTTAGACAATACCAGTTTTCTACATATTCTGTTGCAGAAATTTCTTTTCATTTATGCAATTTTCAAGTTCATCATGATACTTGTCAATTTTGGAATCAAACCCTGGACTCTGGATGTCACAATCAAAACTATTCCCTGTTATAACTTTCTCTCGGTTCAGTGTGGAGTCAAATCTGACTTTTTTGCTTGGTGTATAAGTTCTATTGTTTGAGAGATCATGATTATCGATAACTCTTTCTTTCAGTGGCGTGATATTTGTATTTAGTTGTGTATTCCGAATAGTTTTTATCGTTTCATACTGATGCTCTTCATCATCCAGCTCTTCAATTTCAATATCATCTGAGTTGTCCAAATTAAGTGCAGGATTCTCAATCCCTGGCTCTGGTTTTTCGATTTTCATCTTTGGAGGTTTCCGAGGTACCTCATAGGGGTTCAATGTAATGTTGTGCTCAACTTTCTCACCCTTGAATTTCTTTTTCAATGTCTTAAACACTTTCTTGGATAGCTTATTGCTTGCTTTAAGTATATGGTGCTTCAAATCTTTCTTGCTGTCGTTAGATTCATTAGGATTGTTAGTTTGGCTATTTTTATTCAAATTCATGATATCGACAGCGCTGAAGTGTGATACATCACAGCCTAAGATCTTACTCTGTTTGTTAAAAGTGTCTGCAGTTCCATCCATCACATTTTCGTAGATAGGACTCTCAGCTCGGTAACTATCTATATTTTCATAGTCATGGCTGGTTGATGATTCATTCACTGTTGATATAGTACTGTTAGTTTCACTCGTAAACAGTTTCCTAGGTATCATATTAGTTGGTGGAATATTTTCATTCATCTCACACATGTTATACTCCATCTCTGTATTGTTGTCTACTAAAAATGGATTCTCGCCTAATGGCACATCATTGACATCCAGATTCGGATCCAAAAATGGGTTTGTAGTTTTCTTTTGTATGAGTTTCTTCTTTGTAATGATTGTAATAGTTTTTATTTCCATAATATTACTTTCATTTAAGTCATCGTCTAGATATAAAGACTGGTTAGATGCTGCCGGTGAGTCCAGAGCAAGCCGATCGATGAAACTCAAATTGAGATTGCTGTTGTTGTTTACAAATATTTGATTAGTGACATTTGTTTGTATGTTTGTAGTGTTTATTGCTGATATATTATCTAAATCGCTTGAAAAAGTAGCTGTGTTCAGCGACTTCTGTTCAAGAACAGAAATTCCTGAATCTAATTCATTCTCATCAATATCTAAATTGGTTTCTTCTTGGTTGTTTTGTTTGTCATAATGTTTTATTCCTCTGTGGGTATCCATTATATTGACATATATAGGCTCGGGTTCAATGTTTTCAGAATTAGGTGATTCGGTGAGCTCATTATCATGCTTTATATTTTTCCGAACATTATTCAGTTCTCTCTGAAGGAATTCATTCACCGCTGCCTTACTTATTCCAAGGTCCAAGGCAGTGTTTTCAAATGCAGCAATTTCAGAGCTTTTGGTACATTTACGTTTTTTATTTGGTGTTATTTCCATAGCTGTGTTGCACATGCGATCTTCATTAGCGAGCAGGTCTAACGCGGGGTTGAGGTAAACGTTTGGGCCGCTTTGAATTTTTCTCTTGGTTGATTTAATTTCGAATTGATTGTTGTCTATCGAGTTCATTTCTCACTGTAAAATATAATATTTTTATTATTTTTTTATCACAACACAAAATTCATGTTGATTGCTTTTCATAACAATAAACAAAATGGGTGACTAAAGTAAAATCAACAATTTAATTCTAAATTAGTGATAATATAAAACTTGTTTATCTTTTAAAATATCTATTATAGAAAAGGCTGTTTATTTCACAATCATTGATTTAATTTTTAATAAAAAATTAATTTAAAACGATGTTATGACGAAAAAAGTTTGTAATAAATTAAAACTTACCCATTTAAACGAAGTCTCAGATACCTTTGATTTTAAATTAAAGAAAATTAATTAATCCCAAACCATTTAAACAAAAAGATGTTAAAGAAAGCTCTTCGAAAACTTTTGTGAACCTCGTAATTGTAAACGAATAAGGACAGGTGCGAAGCGACGGTTATTTTTTGACAGTTATTTGTTATAAGAACCATAGAGCTCTCATCAAAAGTACGAGCAGATTATAGGTGATGGTAATTTATGGGCAGGCTTTACTGAAAACTTGGAGAACAATCTTAATGTTGTTTTCATAATTTCGATTACTTTGTATTTATTTTTTGATACCATAAATAATAACAAAATACGTTTTTCTTATTTCCAGATAGGGACATTAAGAGTTAATAATTTAAAACCGTCAGTAAATAAGTAAAAAAATAAAAATATTGTGGACTATACGGAAAAAAGTTATAAAGATTAAATTATTCGACTAAAATTGGTTAAAATATTTATTTATCAAATTTTTTGATGTGAAGATACAGTTCTGTATTGGTAGTTATTTGTAGTCCTGTTTTTTTTTGTAACATAAGCAGATAAAGCTGATGATCAACTTTTTCTTAATACATTTAATGTATAAATTTCATAATCCATCCAAAGTTATCTGTCAAAATTATGTTCATACTAAATATTTTATCGTTACTATAATTTACTCTTCTCTTTTATTAAGTCCTTAATCACCTGTTACGCAGAGAATTCAAAAATAACAACAAATAACTTACATTTGCTAAATTATGTAATTAATTTACATTATTCTCTTAGTTTTAAAAAATTAATGTCTTTTCTAATTATTTTTTGAGAATTATTTAATTATTTGTTTACACGACTAAAATATTGATTATATTGCGTTTTTTAACTAAACCTTTTTTGATTTTATTCTATAGAAAAATATACAAGATACAACAAATATCCTACATGTTACTGAAAGGAAAAGCACTAATAAAAACTCAGAATAAATATTAAATAGCGATTTATTTAAATTTTTCAACATTGTACTAAAATTTTGCACGGTTCCCAGAACCTAATCTATATATCACAAACATAACATCACAATACAATAATTGTCTTTATATAAAATAAACTCCACCACCATCATTGAAGTGCTTCAATACACCGAGTGTGTTTATTATAAAAACTATTACACATATAATTATGTCTAATAAGTAAATAGACTTAATTTCTTACTAGTACAGGTCTAGATTACCTTTGTAAAGTCTAGTACATTTTGTAAGTCACCTTTTAATTATATCCATTGCAACATTATTAAATCAACTCAAATCAATCATACGGGAATTGTCCCAGTAAAATAAAAATATAAAAAAAAACTTCATACAAACAAAATAGATAAAAGCAAATGTTGGAAATATATTCAAGTCAAAAAAAATATTTTAGTCTATGGAACTTAAATTTATAAATGATAAAAACATCACTAACATATTTAAAAAATAATTTTTTTTGAACGACGATCGAACACATTTTTTCCTTCAATTGCTACAGCTATACCTCGGACGGCTCAAGTCACAGCTTGCCCTAGGTTCTATTTTATAGCTTAAATTAATTGTCATTATTATAAACAGATTCAGTAGCTTTATTATGTATGTTGTAAATTATTATGTCATTTATATATAGACAATATTATTTAGAGCAATCAAATCTTTACTTATAGAGCAGAAAGTTAAATATTCATCTCTATTCTCTACCAAATAGACGGTAGCATCTATGTATCTAATGGGTATATAATTATATATATATGAAGTTAATTTTAATTCATATATCTTTTTATTATGTATAAGCAAAGCTTATGCCTTACAAACGTCTTCTATTCTAGCATACTACTATTAAGATATATATAGATTAAGAATTCTATGTGTTTACATATGAGTAAATACTTATAATTACAATTGACATTTGACAGAACTAAAAAAGCAGTGCCATCTAGTTATTATGTGCAAGAATTTATATATAAAGAATCTATATATTAATAATCAATTTAAGTACGTTTTATATAGATTTAAGCTTTTTTTTATTATATATTTCTGTACTTGAAGTATATGCGTCGTACAAAGTTCCTGTCATTTCGACTTTACATATTTTGTGCTTCACATTTTAATCTATGTCAAGATGTTTGAATGACCTCTCCAAGGCTTTATCACGTTTTTTGTCTGGCAGAGCGTTGATTCTCTGTTCCTCTTCAGCTTTGAAGTACGGTTCTAGAGCCTTCAAAGTCTGCATACATTTCTTATGAAGGGTTTGTGTGTCTGGAAGTGTACCACCGTGGAGCGGCGGCAACGCTGAACGAGGTATAACGGTCTGGTAGAAATTCTCTAAATCCTCGTTCTTGTGATGGAACTTTATCTGAAATTATTAACAAATAAATGATATAAAACTTTGAATTCTGTTGTTGTAAATATGAAAGAATGGTTTAAGTTTTCAAATTAACCAAAAATTAAAAGAAGTTTATTTTATAGACTGAAATCAAAAAGACACAAAACCAATGCAAGTATTTATTTGTGTAAATAGCTTTATTACTAGTTTGTCGCGATTTTTTAGTTTAGATATCGGATTTAAGTAATAAACACCAAAAAAGAACGTGGACCCCAAGAATCTTTTTGTGTTGCTTAGCAATAGTTTACATCGTCACACGTCATACTGCATACAAAGGTAATTTTGTTTCTGATTCAATAACCCACTGTTATTCTGTAATTTGCTAAGACTTATCAATGGAAAACTGTCTACATATGTAGTGTAACGATGCGATCTTGAAGTAAGCTTTTTATTCGTTTAAATAATATCAGATTAGATGGTAGTAGCAATAAATGTTTCTAAAGAATTAGATCGAAATATTAATATATGAAAGGCGACAAGTTCGTGTTATGTATGTGCTAAATAGTTGCAAGGTTTCATTGAAATATGTGCAGTAGTCACAAATAATTGTGACTACTGCACAGATTTCGATGAAATTAATATAAATTAATAATAATGATATCAACATGCATATAAGAGGATAGTCGTTCTGTGTATAAAAGATATCCTACTAATATTATAATTGCGAAAGTTTGTGAGCGTGTGTGTATGTTTGTTACTTCTTCACGCTCAAACGTATGAACCGATTTTGATAAAATTTTGTATACAGGAAGCTGACGTCCAGGAATAACACATAGGCTACTTTACATCTCGGAAATCCGAAAGTAAACCCGCTTGGCGCAGCTAGTTAGTTTTAAAATACATGTGTGGTGGTATATTCTGTTTGTACCATATCAAAGAACTTTTTATCCATGAAAGGTCTGATGAGTAACAGCAGCTTGTCCAGGATCGGTTCAGTGTTGAAGACGTGTATCGCCCTCATCCTCACCGGCATCGCTTCTTGTACATATTGAAAGAACTTACGTAGAGACCTGGTGAAGAATAAATAAGTAATACTTAGATGTTCTACGAAATACTAACAATAACAATTAAAAATATATAATATATACATCTACTTAGGTACTATTGTGATTTATATTTTAAATTAATAACAAAATTCCAAAAAAATAATAATAAAAATAACGGAAATATTAAATATACTACTATATAATACTATAATATATTTAATATTAGGTATACAAAAAAAATATACAAAAAAGGTTTCGGGAATAAACAACCTTATTTAATATATTTTTTAATAAGCTATAGTTACAACGACGCATTCAATTTATAACTATTATAAAAAAAATACTACAATAGATTTTTTTCTACACATTCAAATATGTATATATAACATACGAAATTTAAAAGAAAGAAGCCCCATGGAATGTAATAATTCATGCGCTGGATATAAAACATAAAAAATACGGTTTATATGAAAGACTTGACTAATTCAATTAAGTTTTATTATCTTAAGGGTTCCCTATTTACCAGAGCAAAGATGGAATCTATTTTATTAGACATGCAAAGAGTTCTAAATACGCAATGGTTAAGCTCGATCTAAGACGTCTTATATTTCTTTACCTTTGCCTGTCCTTCTGAAAGCTATTACAAAATCAGGATATTAAAATAATGCTAGAAATCTTAGTTAATTTATCTCTGATACTGAAGGTACTCTGTTTGTGTGGCTATTTACATGAAGACTATACTCAAATTAATATACAGTAGATTGTGTACATAATACAAATACGAAATAGATATTCATACTATAAATTGAATTAGTTTTGGCGGGAAACGTCTTTATTCAAGTGATTCATAGATTTAAAATATATAAATATATTTAGATGATGATTATATAATACTTACGAGAGACTAACTCTGGTGAGATGGCCGAGTTTAACTCCTTGCATGTCGAAGAGAAAAATGTAACCAGGTTGTGGACCTCTCTTATGGAGACAAGAATCTGAAATATTGAATGAATCTTGTAATAATTATATGCTTTTATATAAATTAATGATATTATACATTACATATGTACATAGACACATACATACATACATACTTAGATACATACATAAGTAGGTATAGTCAGATGATATTGAAATAATTTTATTTAAAAATGTAATTGTAATAAAATATCGAAAACTTCTTACTTTTTTTTCAGGAACTTTTGAAAATTAATATTTTAACACTCATTTTTCATTGTTATATTTAAAGAAAGACCCATTATACTGATATATAAATCAATAATATACTAAAAGACAGAAAAAAGTATTATATTTATCCTTTTAAAATCCGTTAAAGAAACATTTTGTTGAATAACATTTTCAAATCTGTTTTAATTTAAATTAGGATCAGTTATGCAATAAATTGGATGATTAGGTAACTCCATATAACATAAATCATATTACATCACATATTGTACGAGTCAGTTATGGTTGTAATATAATTGTCCATTGTATTTTTATAAAAACTGACATTGCGACTTGCGTCAGTATTGCCACACGCGAAGTTTATTGTTATAATCCAATACGATACCAAACGCTTATACAGACAAACAAACAGGATGAAATAAATTAAGATATAAAAACAAAATAATAATTATGAAGCATATCGAGATTTAAGTGTTAATATTATAAGGAAATAAATTAACCTTGAACAGTTGTAAGAAATGGCGGCGATAAAAAATTGCGTTCAAATTAATAATAATAATTCAAATAGAACGGTCTTGATCTTTTAAAAATGAATTTATATTTTAAATTCTTATCGATATTATTAATCGTTTATTTAGTTTATATGTACATAAAATTTAAATCACTCTGCATGGTTATACTTATGCAGATATTGTAGAAATATATTCTGTCTTCAAGTATCTTGGAAACATTTTTGCCAGGGGTAGATTTGCATGGAAGGAAATGTAAATTGAGAATAGGCCGTTCACTACACTCTCTATACTGCTATTTATATGATATGGATATTCAAGAATAGCGACTTAGTTCAAAGAAATATATTTGTATGTCTATGTCCTGACATAGGCTCAATAGTAAACTAATGTAATGTAAGTATGTTTTGATGATGATGTTAATCCTACAATTTCATATGGAAGTTAATTCAATAGTCTATTACCAAAATTAGAGTAATGTGCCTCTCAGGATATTCTGTTTTGTTTTAGATTTAAATCTTAGCTTTTTCTTTGTAAGTCTCGATTTTTAAATAGAATTAATTAAATATATAAGATTTTAAGGTGTACACATTGAAAACTTTTTTGGGAAAAATACACTTTGTTTTTGGGATTTTATTATTAAATAAATGATGAAGGTCATCCCATAATTGGAGTTAAGTATTTTATGCTTCAATATCATTAAGGTTTTCGTCAGTTTCATCACCAAGGATTCCTGTCAGTTAATATATGGAACTTTAGATCTTTATAACAATTAGTAAAATAATATTTTCATTGCAAATTTTAATATTTCTGTAAAAGAAATATAATTCATTAAACATTTGCCCTTTAAAGTTGTCTAGACTCAAAAATACATTATCACTAAGCATATAAAAATATAAAAATAATTAATCGAAGTAAGTCGCACTGCAACCCGTTATCTGATAAGCAATCTTGATATTAATGTTTGCAAAATATTAATCTTCACTAATTAAATCACAAAACTTAAGCAATTAAAATCCCTCAACTCCTCTCACGATTGTTTTTTGGTGTCTTAAATGTCAGCGTTTTTTTTTTCTGTTTCCAATTTAAATTACCAAAAAAATGACTGCACTAGTCCGTTGAATGTAGCATATCGACTTCAAAGAATCAAAAACTAACGAACTACATAGATTCAACCAGCGTCTGACAGTACTATATACATACATTTATACGTACATATGTATGTACAGCGGATGTCAATGCAAAGCTTAAAAATGTTGAAATGTTTCTCCGGTCTAGGCAGTATTGAATTTATTAGCATCTAGTCATGACCTTTCCGTTCATGAAGCTCTCTTTATATATCAAAGTTGAATAAAAATGCTCGGCATTGACAAAATCATTAAGGAAACACCATTAACTCACAGAATATAAAAGAGTTGTCTATGGCCAAAATTATCCTATTATAGATCTAGGTTCTATATGGCCAAAATGACTGAATTCTTTTTAAACAACGAATCCCATAGATAGGTTTATCAAAAAAAATTGTATTTTATGAGTGAACAGGTAAAATAAACTTGTGATATTCATTACTTGAACTATCCAACGCTTAAACGAATTTCAACAAAAGAAACATTAAAAAAATAATAATAATAAAGGGTCTTAAATTTTGAAAGTATATTTTTTTAGCATAAATCTTAATTTCCCTAATTAGTAAATATATTATTATTTTTATAGCAGTAAATGAACGTCTTACCAAGACGGTCGCGAGCCTGAACGCCTTGTCCTTATTACGTAACCTTGATTAAGAAACGAAGTATCGAGATGTTAATTGCTTTAATTGTGACATAGATTATTTTCGGTTCAATATCCTTATTAATAAAAATATATAAACAAAGATATTAAAATATATAACTGGCTAATAATATCTTTTAATGTTTAGTTAACACACGGTATCTAATGAGCACAATGGCGATATTAAAAGTTTAGGTATGAACAAACGATATAAAGTTTTTTAAGTTTAAAAGGTGACTAAAACAGTTTTATTATTTTTTGATAATTATCTATTACGTGATTTCTATTGGAATGCATAATTGATATTTAATGTTCCAAATTGCACAAAAACTTATGATAATAGCATTACGAATAAAAGAGGTCTTTTAAATTTTCTTTCTTTGTTTGAGAACTTTGTTTTGTTATTTAATAATACGACCATTCGCTAATTGCTCTTGCAGAAGATTTATATTTTTGTAAGGCAAATCAGAATTAAATGGCACATTTCTAGACACAGTACTGATTATATGTATAAGTTGTTTTATTTGCTTTATATTATTCAAAATTGCTTAACATTTAAATGTTAAACAGTGATGTGTGACAACTGAAAATCTATGCAAATAATTATTACTATTTTAATATTAAAACATGCACTTTCACTAATCATTGGTTATCGACATGGCAAAATATATATTTAACGAATGTCTGTTTGTCTATTTGTTTCGTCTAATCTATTAAGGATTTGACCGGTTTTTAAAGACTTTCGCTGATAAATAGTTGTCGTGTTAATAAATAACTTCGTTTACTTTTATTTTCCATGCATAAATGATACAAAAAATATTCCAAATGGACAAAGTCGCGTGCAAAACCTATTTGGTAAATATGTTTTTAAACTACGCTATAGAGAAACAGAAAAAAATAATTAATTACGGGGTCGCTGAATTGGATATAATGGCAAAAATTTTAAACGAATTGCAAATGAGTTTTAAATTATTCAAATTATTTAGTTTATAAAAAATACATATATATATATTCCAAGCCTATTAAAACGTTTACGTGTTATGAAAACAACTTTTATATAAATTAATATAAACAATAACATTACAATGTGTATTAACAAGGATAACAAGTTTATAACTCGGTTAGTTAATTGTTTCCAATATAAAGTAGTTTAATAAGTAAATAAGTAGTTTTATAAACAAACAAAGTCGAACATAAGATCGTTCATACATTTATCCTAATGATATTGTAAATGCTAAACTCTGTGAGGACGTATGAATGTTTGTTGCTTGTTAACGCAACAACTGCTTAATTAATTTTGAGTAAACTTGACAGACTTGACAGACTCTAATTTATAAAGGAATTCTGTGTAATTCCTCTAGGAATACGGCATAACTGTTGTATTGTGTATGAAGTCACGTGATAGGCTGTAGATGTCGCTGCCGACTGATAACCATAGCTACTATTTTAACACACATTGTACATATTACTCTGAACCAAATCGAGAAGATCACGCATACGAAGTCACGATCAAAAACTAAAATGTACAAATATATATTTGTATACCTAAAATCAATATTAAAAGTCTGGGTACAATTTGCCAAAAGTTGGTGTACAAATATTGTATATAGCATATAAAATGTACATTATTAATCGCTAATAACGCAATACTTCTTCATAAGTATGTGTTATTTTTAAAGTGTCTAATAAGAAATTATCATGTTCCTATGTGATAATCTTTATCGTTATGTAACATGAGTTTCGCTTGATTTAAAATTCAACAACTACTAATGTATGTTACATTTGATGAAGTGATAACTTAATTAAAAAATCGAGTTCACATTACTCTAGACTATATAATTCTTTTGACCTCCCAAACCTACTTTGATTACGTGTTTGTTTAATGAAGAGTACATTCCTTTTCTTTTCGGTATACTAGTGTATGAGGACTCACCGACAGTCATGAAAAGAAGCTTGCAGCCAGGCTCGAAGTGGTATTTAGAAGGTTCTGTGTAGTGAAGTCGGTGGTAGATCAAGTCGTAGCCATCATGAGATTTCTCTGGCAACACACTGAACTCTCTGGAAAGAATTATACATCATGTTACCATTTTCTATACTAGACTTTTGATTGGTGATTATTTACTATACATTTGTTTTAATATACGATTCATGTTAACGTATTAAGAACTTGCTCATTAATGATTGTACTAGTATCCTAAGAAAAAGGATTTTTTTTAACAGCAGGTAAACAATTGAGTAAAGTAATAAAAGTGTTTTTAAGCTGTTGTCTGAGTTACGATCGGACCAAAATGATTTATCGTAATTATAAGTGTGTCCATGACCCAAGCGAACACTGTAATTGGTTAAGAAATTAAGATGATAAATGTGAAGTTATGTTGCCATAAACTATTTTATGTATTATATAATAATTAAAAATAAAATATCTATAAATAAAAATTAATTGAATATCATGCAAGTCCTTGCGATAGGTGTCTAAAAGACTTTTTTATAATTAATGTGACAAATATTCTCATACAAAAATATTCAATCAAAAATAAAGCATGTTATGATAAACACATTCACCCACCAATTTAGTATCCTTGCTTTCGAGTGCTAAAATATTCAAACGACTAAATTAGCAGAACTCTAATCTATAAAATAAATAACTCATGAATATATAAAAGGCGCAATCATAATAAAGTATAATATTTAAATAACTCTATTCATGTCTCTAATGCGTTAAATACAATGGATAGTTTATTATACGTAAGACCACCGTACAGTATTTGTGTAGTGTATATAACATTTACGAATAAAAGAGGAGGAAAAAAAATTAATGTAAGTTTTAAAATGTCTGAATTCTGGAACATCAAAACAAAGAATTTTCGAAACGAATATGTATATTTTTATTATTATATTGTATTTTTTTTTAAGAAATGCATTAAATTATCGCCAATTTACGGGAACCTAGTTCAACACTGAAAGGTCAAAAAGTACTTTTTAAATTAAAAAGCTAAATTAAAAAACTAAATTAATGTAAACATTTTACTAATATGTAGTCTAAATCAAACACATTACACATAAGACGATCTCAGATATTGTGCTTAGTTTTTTCTACAATAATTCTAACACGTCTATTCTAGAAAATATTTTAAAATGCACGTTGTACTAAGAAATAAATTACTTAGAAGTTATGAACACGTTTAATCAACATTATATGCGTTGCAAATAAAATTATGCCATTATAACGTAAGGTCATATGTACATCGATTGTACATTACAGTTAAATAAAAAAGCGGTTTTGGATATATAATAAATGCTTAAAAAATATTTACAAAAAATTTTTCCTTTCAGAAAACAAGCAGTTGCTTTTTTAGAACCGGATTAAAACGAAACATAAAAAAACATATAGTGTTTACACACTAAACACGGAAACAATGAGATGTATATCTATACAAGAATCTTTACATAAAAGATAAAAAAAAAAAACAATTTTATATTTTTTAAAGTAGTGGCTGTAAATGGAAAAGATGTGTAAATAAATTGTGTATTTGGGACATCCATAATATTGTACGTAAGCAATAAGTCGATTGTGTGATGCTAGAAGTTGCAAAATATTTTATTTAAGAGTTTTATTCACGTTGAACTTTTGGTTTGTAGTCAAACTATGACAATGAAGTAGGCATGTACTAATTCAATGGGGCTTAGGTACCTGTTGTTAATATTAGACCAAACTCCACTGCGTTCTGACCCAAGGGTATCGACAGACAATAAAAAAGGGGTTCTGTCGACATCACTATATATATCGTTTACATATATACACTGGCTATGCCACGCTATAGATAAAAAAAAAATTGGGATTATCTACTTATAAGATCGAAATATAGCTCATAGCTCATTAGCTATGAGCTATATATCATTATATAGCTTACAGTGATAATTAGGTTTGTGGGACTATATTGTTAGGTATCGCTGTATTGTCTGGTGTGAAGTCTGAATGTCTCATATGTTAAATGTCGCGGTTGGAAATGTATTGGATTCTATTTGAAGATATAACAAGCACAAAATTGAAAACAAATATTATAATTTTCATCAGCGTCCATTGAACATTTTAAAATATTCTTTTGACGATTGAATTACTAATGGTACCTACTAAAAGTATTTCGTAGGTTTTAATATAACTGGGAAGCAAATTAATTATAGATGACCAAAAAATCTACGAGCTACGTTGCCGGTAAAAGTTTTTTTCGCATAAAAAATTATAATAACCTGATACAATTTACGTCATGCGGCAACCATTGACGCAGAATACAGCGTTATAAAAAAAATAATTTTAATGTTACATAAGCCGTTGAATAGTTTTATAAGAAAAGTATCAAAATAAAAATATAAAAATTATACGATCCGGTATACGCAATTATTAATTCGTTCGCAAAAAGAAAAAGTAAATTATGTAACACTCATAGCCAAATGTTATGTATTATGTATGATGGAATACTTGCAGAGAAGTTACTTAATGGTGCGAAGGAAGCTTAATTTCGAAAGACCAATTAATGAAACGCAACGCCATATTAAATAACATTTTTGAATGTTCAAATCAAATGAAGCTGTATAGCTTTATATCCTTTATATACACGTAGGAAAGAAGACACAGCACGTACAATGATTTCATCCAAGGTCAATTAAAATCTTTTTGTAAATAAATCTTAAATAAAAAGGAAGATAGGTCATACAATGTTGTTTTATAAAAAATCCAAAAAGAAACATAATTCAAGTCATACAACACCGTCTCAAAACAATGGAAATGTACAATAAAGTAATTTAACATCTAAATGTATAAACTTTGTATCTATTAAGTAAGTAAAAAAATTAAATATAAAAAGTTGTTAATTAGACACCTTAAGCATCTAAATACCAACCATTGTTCGAGAAAACAATGTTTTTTTATGAATATAGAAAAATTTTATGCAGTTCATAATAGTAACACATGCTAACAAGTCTTCGAATATGTTTTATTTTAATTTGAAACTTAAATTAATTACATGTTCAATGAAAACAAAAACAATTTAAATAATGAATATACTTTAAACATGTTTAATTAAAACTGTGTAATTTACATTCGACATCTTTATTTGAACAAATGATAAAAAATTTATGAAATGTTGAAAATTGTTATTATTTTTAATTTTCTTTATTTGTGTTGATTATAATAAATATGGTATATAACTACCAATGTGATTTTTCAGAGTCATATGTACTTTCTAAGAGTATTTAGACATCACTGACTAATGCTTTCCCAAGAAAGAGGTTTGATGTCAGGCAGGCGGCCTGTTGTAAAAACAATTCACAAAATGTAAGGCAGACCCTGGCTAAAGCTGGGAAATTGCCAGGTAGAAGAGGAAAACAGTAAATGAATAATAAGTGTTTTAAAATAATTTTAGTGTGAGCACATCACAGGTGACGGTCTTTCCGTTTGTGATGGTAGTTTATTTACTGTATGTTAAATAGTAAAATCAGCTAAAGAATATAATATGTATTGTGATAGTATTTTTTATGTACATTCACATTTTAATTTGGTGTGAAACATAAAATTACTCACATGGTTTAGAACAATAACTTGTAACCTATTATCAAAAATGTATTTTAAGTGTTTTTGTTAATAACCATTTTTTTCATTTAAATTATAATAAAAAAAGAAATTATAATAAAAAAAAAAGAAATTGTGTAAATCAATAAAAAGGTTAACATTTTTCATACAAAAATGTTTACCTTTTTATTTATTTTAGTAACTGTTGTATATCAGCAAAATTTGTCTGACTAATTAAAAATCTTTAGGTTCTCTCAATAAATTAATGGTAATGAGCATACCCTTTAATAAACCGGTTAATGACATAAACATAACTAAGTATGAATAATAATATACTATTTCTTGTTAACTTACAATGTTTTAAGAGGCACAGCTTATAAATATGTTTAAAAAATCCCATGTGTATTGATAAAGTGAATACAGAATTGTCTGTCAAATAAAAACCATAATATATGTGAAATAAAAGAAAATGTAATTATATTTCATCTTTGATAACCCAATGTTATAATAAGGCGAATGTTCATTATAATAAAAAAACATTTTTGTATATAAAAAAGTTTTGTTATTACTTTCAAAATCCCATGTAATATTTATAGTTAGGCTGTCAATGATAATATTTTTTACTAGAAAAACATATTTATAAGCAATTTTCTGCCACAAAGATTTAACTAATTTTGGTACTTTTTTTATGCCGCATTCATTCTAACACATTCATTTATTTCATTTATACAATTCGCTGTTGCATTTAATTTAAAAAATATATATGAATGGTAACATAGAAAACAATTTATTTTTTCTTCACAAGAAGCATTACTGATGGAACATAACATAAGCTACTATTAGGATATACTCTGTGTATTTTTTACAGTTTATATTATTCTTTATAAACATAAAAGTAGTACTTACAGGGCTTCTACAGAAGGTTGCAGCTCATCAGAACTTAAACATCTATTGTCGAAGATTTCTGGAGTATTTTTTCTTAGATTATAATATCTTTCTATACACGTTTTACTCCTCTCTATATCTCCATAGCATGCGTTATAAAATAACAACAACTGTTTATCCGTAAGGTCTTTAGGAACATATTTTGACTTGTCTAATTTTTTAGTCCATTCTTTTAAGGCATTAAAATCTTCTTGACAAAATTTATCCATGGCAGCTATTGCCGCATCATAATCATATTCTAGTTCCACAGCCATTTTCTTCGATACTAAATGTGTTTATTAATTCGATAAATAACACGATTGTCTGAGGAGCGCTACACATCCAACTGATGTAACGATTATTTGACAACTGAACTTCACTGAAAATTGATCCGATACGTTCGAAAATCAGGTTATAATATTGACACAACAACTGCTTTAATCTTTTTAAAATGTTGCTATATAAAATTATGTATATAATTTTTATATTTTTAAGGTAGGTATTCTTAACCAATGAGATTTGAATAATATCAGTTTACTTTTACAAATAAGATAAATATAACCTAAATGGATACAAATTTATCGTAAGTCTTTTATAAGATATATTTAATATCAAAACTTGAATTGCCATGTAATTAATATTTTTTCAAGGGAAGGCAATCTTGTAATTATATCAAGGAAAGAAAGGCTTCAGAGGTTTATGAAAGTTTACCGGAAACTGATAACTTTTATTATAACACCATTAATTTGGATACCAATAATATGTTTAGGTGATGATAATGTAAGTTAGTAAGTACCTTTGTAATAGGATTGACGGTTTTCATAATTATATTACATTTTATTCCATTTGACAAATGATTAGACTATTCCCAGTAATTAAATAATACCTTTACAAAAATATATAATATTCATAATAATAAGTATCGTTGTAATAGTTTTCGATTTTAAAAGTAATTCATTTAAACCTTAAGAATTACATTTTAGGCTTATATCAGTTTTTACGTATTTCTTGTGAATGGAACTTATTTGGTTGCTAATATCTTCCACCCAGGCGTTACTTCATTGATTCCAATAACTATGTTTACGATATTAGACGCTCTGGGAAGACCTGTGATATATACGGTACATATATATTCATAACATTATTTAGTAGTATAACCATTGCAATTATTATTTTTGAATTAATTTACTTGCAATTTTCTAACATAGTTAAAACTAATTATTTTTCAGATAAATATCAATAACTCAGTCCTGGACTGTTTAGGAGTTATGATGATAGTTGTAGCCATAGAGTACAGCAATATTCACAAGCGGATTGCCTTAAAGTTTCTGCTTATATTTGGCTGTTCTCATTTTAGGTAACTCATTTTGTGCAAATTAATATCAAGTGCTCAATAATCATAAACCATGATTTTGTATAGTTATTATTTAAACAGCCTTAAAGCATATAACTGGCCTTTACTACAAAAAAAAAAGAAAAATTATTTATTAAAATTTTGACTGCCTCTAAATTACTTATTGGAAGTTTTATTTTTGATTTAATGATTAATTTCTTTCTTATTTGTGTATTCAAGGCTGAGCTTCTTGATGTTCGCCATCAGTATGGTGCTGTCCATGTGGTGCACAAACACCATGACCTGTGGTATCATGATGCCGATCATGAAAGCTGTTCTCGGTGAACTCGAAAGAGTAATAAGCTTTATATTATAATTTAAACAACAGTATTAATTGTATCAAAACAAAAGTACAGGAAGTAATGTGTATGTACATATAAGGATATAATCGAGGTTAATTTTAACAAGAAAAATTCAAAAAGAGATTTTTTTATATCTTTTCTTAAATGACTTTTTACAGACTTTAACAACACTAAATTTTAATGGTAAAAATAAAAAAATATATTTTTACCTGATGTGGATAAGCCTACAAAATAAAGATTCTTAAGTGACGAAAAGTTAAATATTTAAAAAATAGCAAGGCCTTAAATAATTAAAGTTAATTGTACATCAAAATTACGTACAATAGTAAAGATCTGATTTCTAATAAAAATAAGTTAGATCTAAAAAGTTTTTGTGAAACCCAGTATAGAGATAGCATTACTATGCAAAATAATATTACGAATATGTTGATTATCTTAAATTTTTTCAAAATAACTGCAATAGACAACTGTATGTGTAAGGATTTGCCTAAAATATAAGAAGACCTCTTTCCATTCCTAATACATTAATCCACAGTTCGATGTTAGATTAAAGTAGGTACTTAAGCTGGGCAGATTATTGACTTAAAATTTACACAAGTAAAACTTACCTTTACTCAACATATTCATATTAGATAATAGATATCAATAGTAGCTAGATTCTTACTCGGCATTTTTTGATATTAAAATACTTTAATTCAGCTAAGGAACACTATTAGGAAAGTTGCGTATTCATTATTTCAGATGTATTATTAAGACAACAAATATATTTTAATATTAAACATTTACTAAATCCTTTATTTTCTAATGCTCCTAATAGGAGTCCTCGGAATTTTGGACTAGGAAGGTCTAGGTTCTTAAAAAGAGTCAAGTAGACCAGTATAAGAACACTTATTATAATCCCAACCACACTTACTGAGGAAATTCAAGCGTTCTTTGAAATTTGTCTTATAACTTAAACTTATAAGTAATTTAAAACGTATAGGTATACAATAACGCGATTTTATTACATTTGCAATAGGTATATTTTTAAAAATATATTTTGTGTTCTACTTAACAGATAAAGGAAATAGTATTGTATGTATATAATATGCAGTAGTATGTAAGTAATACATTTAATGAAGATAACGTTTCTAAACATTTCAGATGGGAGTGTTAGAAATTTTTGAACCACGTAAACTTGGTGATAGTTCCCGTTACGATGTTGTGTAAGGAACATTCTGCAATATTTTTAATATATGTTATACAAGAATTATAGTAACACTTATGAAGGTATTAAATTTTCATGTAAAAGAGCGTTAAGGTTAATTTATCCCTTTTTGTTAAAAAACAGATGAACGGTTGTACTATAGTAGAATATCAGATATTTTATATACTTTGATACCATACAAAGCATTTTAAAATAAAAATAGATAAAGTAATAGAGTGTAGGAATGGGGAAAGAGGTTTTGAGCATACGGCCAACCACTCTTCTAACGAAGGCACTTGTTTTAAGATGGTTCTAACAAAGATAAACTAACTCATACGAAGGTCAGACCAAAGGCCACGGCAAAAATCATACTACAAGTTAATTATAAGCAGATTTCTCTGAAGTTTCGATGGACAAATAGAAAACATTAGGACATTTAACTTAAGCATAAATTTTGCATTGACACTTACTTACCCTGATACTATCTGAATAAAGAAACTGGATATATAAAATATGAAGTGTGACCATCCAAACTTACAATAAGGATACTGGTACTTCACGATGAGGAGATTATGTTCATTACAAATAACGATACCTAAACGTATTTTAATTTTTAAACTATTCTTTTTTGTTTCAGTGAAGCAAGGCCGTCAGATTTTACGATTTTTTATTTCCTAGGCATAGCTTACTCATCTTCAATAGGTATGTATTGTTGGGAATATTAAAAATATATTTTTATATACTGTACCTTAGATAGTTGAAGAGACAATGTAATTATGATGAAGAAAATAATTAATACTTAATAAAATGTTAAGCTAATGTTGGAGTAGTAAATTAAAGCGTTCGTATTAAAACAGAAAGGCTTAGTGATGGCTAGAAAGAAATTAGGTATAAGTACTAGAAAGAAAGTAGGTACATATCGAGGCATCGACAGATATCCCATATACGAATTGAAAAACAGATTTAGGTATATATAGAAATATTATTATATGTACATTTAAAATATAGTATTGTTTATCACACATAATTATAATATGACCTACTGTTACTTCTGAATTTAGATTTATTAATATTACATTAATATAAAAGAGCCATAAAATAATATTTCAAGAGTTAGACTTCCATTGATTTTTATTACCATCATAAAAATGAATTATATTTCATGCATATAAAATAACAAATTAATTAATAAGTATTTATATGCGATAATCAAGGTGATGTTAATTGCAATTATGTAATAAGTATTAAAACCTTAATATTATCGTAATAAGGAAATCTATGATTATTTAATTACCTGTTTACTTGTAGTGAAAACCTAATAATTAGTTATAGATAAATTGTAGTCTATTATAATAAATAATTACTACTTATTACTGTTTTATTCTTTAGGTGGTGTGTGTACATTTATCGGGAGCGAATCAAATCGACTGTTTAAGAATTACTGCTCAACGTAAGTTTTAAGGGTTTTAAAAATATTATAGCAAGGCCATAGAAAATTGAATGATTTTATAAAAACATTTGCTTATCAAAATAAATACACATCGTTTCTAGTTTTCACTCACAAGCATATTAACGTTGATAGTTTAGTAGTAAGAGTACAGCTATTGCATTTAGTACTTAATCAGGAAATTTCTTATCAGAAACCTTATGAGTAATTTGAGGTTATTTTATTTCTTAAATGGTACTTTTCTCATGTCTCCTTTATTTTTCTCTGTTTGTGCTCATCGATTTTCACATATCCGTTCGAGCTGTTAATAGATATTTTGAAATATGACCTTATGAGTGGTCTCAAAATAAAATATGTACATATAGAATCAAAATAAAATATGTACATATAGAACAGCATGTTAAATACGGTCATATATATAAAACACGTAGGGATATAGTTAGAGTTGTTTATGTATAAATTGACTTAGTCCACCATTCATTCCAAACGGAAGACAGCGTAGTTGATATATGTAAGACCATAGAAATGTAGTAAAAGAACATATTCGAATTTAATTATTCCTATTAAAATATTTTCTATTTTTTCCTATACTTTAAGGGTTTTCCCCAAGATCCCCAATTTGGAAGCCCCCCACTTCACGTTACTCACTCTGCCAGGCGTGCTTCTCATGGAGATATGCCTGTACTTGTGGCTAAACTTTTACTTCCTTGGCATGATGCGGTACGGGGTGTATAAGAAAAATTTTGATCTATTCATTTAAGTTAGTTACGAATGATAAGTAGCTCTGCCACTAATATTGTGTCCGTGATGTAAGTATAATAGCAAAATAGAACTATTTTTTTTCAAGCCTAATAGACTTAATCAAAAAAGAAATATACACGTTGATTAACAGAGATGAGACTAAAGTGTCATTATTTTTCGTTATAGCCAACTAAAATTTCCTGAATAATAATATATTCCAGTGTACAGAACTACAGTTCTCTCCAGGCGAGTCTTACTAGCGAGGAACAGCAGTACGTTGGCACACTGCTGGAAGCGCAATACACTAGATTAGGAAGGATAAGTTTGCATGAAATGGTAATTATATTGACTAACAACTTCTGCTAAATAGGTATGCTGTGCAATCATTATTTTCGCAATAGCAATTTACGCAGTGTTATTAGACAAGTAATTTATAAATGGAGATATTTATATATTTTTTCTTGATAAACTAAGCTTTAACCAATTTTAAAACAACAGACTAACTCTCTGTACCTACTCAACGATGAATAAAAAGATTATATTCGTGCACCATGCACGTAGAAGTTCGATAGAATAAAAAAAACTATACAATTTTTTATTAATTTTCATACTTTGTCACACTACAGTTTAATTACAAATTCGCATATTACTCTTTTAACTGACATGGTAATTATAAATTTGCGGTTTGGCCTTCTATGATACATTAAATTATACATCCAAAGATCGCTTTTGCTATCGGCATTTAAATTAGAAATTCGCAAATAAACATTTTTGCTCCTTTTGGTTACATCCAGATCACTTTTACTAAAAATAGCTCAGCTATATCTCCGTAATTTGGCATTGGCTGGCAGCTTATTATAAATTCTAAAATAACTTTTTAATAGCTCGAGCACTTATTATCTGATAGCTCGTATTTTAAACAGTTCAGTTGTAATTTCGGAGTTTTCCCTGTTTTTCAACATTATAATTACTTTGCAAATAGGTTTTTTAAGAGTAAATAGTAGCACAAAAACGCTTTTATTACAAACAGTTCAGTAATACATTCGCATAAATTATCTTTTTTTACCAATTCGTTCATAGATTCGCTTGTTAATATATTTCCATACTGCGTAATTAAAAATTTTTGTTTTATTATAAATATTTTAAGTGTTGTTTTTAACATTAACACAGTCGCAAAATTCAGAGATGAACATCTTTATCGACAGTTAAATAGTACATTCGCTAGTGCCCTATGTCTAAGAGACATTAATTACATCTATCTTTGCAGCTTTCTTTTTGACAACAGTTTTATTACAAATTCGCAAGAAGTTTCAGTTACAGTTGATCGCTATAGTTATTATCGCTTATAGTTAATCGCAGATTGCGCTTTTAAAAACAGCAGCATTCGCAGATTTCTTAGAGTATGATAGTTATAAATTATATTTAATATAAATTCCCAGATCGTCGGTTCCTTCGTTATGTTAACAGTGATTCTTCAAGCCACCATCAGTTTAAAAGACTTGGTTATTGATCGTGAAACATTAAAAATAAACAGGTAATATAGTACCATATTTTATTTCATCTCTAATTTACTTGTTATTTGACACATTCTAGAGGACTAATGAAATATATATTTTTCGTCTACAGTTTCATGCATTCCCCTTCTATTATTTGTGCAGCGCTTTTTTTCATAACACCTACAAGCCTGGATTTCATCAAGAATTTTAGACATAATGGTATGTTATGGAGTTGAATATTGTGAATGTAAAAAAATCATATATTTTTTGAGATTTTCAAGGTGAAAATGACGGAAAAATATAGCAGGAGATTAAAAAAATATAACAATATAGCGCCTAAGTATTGAGGTATCTAAAAGTTTGTACTTATACGTTCCAGGCAATATCATAAGAGTAAATGCTATTAAAAAATGCCTCAGTTGGCCTTTGATAAGAAAAAATATACATTGGAGTGCTTTGTTCATCACTGGTTAGTATTAATTACGAAACAATGAGTTTCTTATTATAATAATCGATGGCTCCATTGTGAGGTTCTTTGTGGTGATAATTATTTCTTTCTTATATTTACATTTTGTTTATAAAAAACCCGTTGTATTAGTATTAATTAATTAGCTATAATGACTTTGTCTGGCGCTGTATTAACTCTTGGCTCTTATTGGCGATAAAATTGCGCATTTTATGAAAATTAAATATTAATTGCTTATAAAAAGCTAAGATTTTCGTATAAATAGCACTTGCAACACAGATACATAATATTTTAACTCAAATGTATGAGTAACACAGAAAAATTTCGCACACTTGTTTAAGTTTTATATATAAAATATTTTATATAAGTATTTATTACCATTGAAATAAGAGTTCCAAATCTTTGGATGGAATATTTTCTCGTCCACTTCCTTTCTAAAATAGATCGCCACCAAAATAATATTCACATTTCACGAGAGAATTACGTTGACCTCTTTAGTCCCTGAAGATTCTGAAACATAAATAATGGTATTGTTTATAACATGGCTATGTTCAACGTTTTTAAGCAGATTGATACTTAAAATATATCTTACCTTTCAGATCCATAATTCTTTCTTTACATCAGTGTAACTCACATACATCGTACACAAAATTGCATTTAGTTTTTGGGTTATACCTAAATAATAATTGTTTGAACAAAATCAGTTAAGATTCTTTTAGACTGAATAAGATGTGACAATTGAATCGTTTCTATCACAGCCAGTAATAACGTTATCTTCGAGGCCATGACCTACACGAAAATGACTGACAAATTCGTCGAATTTCTATTGATGTTCCGAGATCTCCCGGCACCGGCACTAGCATTCATAGTTATTCTATTTTGTAAAATTATGACAGAATTTGGCAGTAACTCTGTCGTTGCGACCTGCTTACTGCCCTGCATTGCTAATCTGGTAAGAAAGATTTTAAGAATTGTTTAACAAGATACAAGGATTATAGGAATAAAGGATTCTCCGGCCATTTGAACACTATTCTAGATTTTTCTGATGTAGTTATTTTTTTCTCTCTATAACTTAAAACTATTATGCATTCATTGTAGTCGTGTTAAGTTGTTAACACAGGATAAGACATTGGATACAAGCATATTTAAAATTTAAATACATATTCTTTGACTAAATTTTTAAAACAATTAGCTTTCTGTTCTGAAGAATTATGACCAAAGACTGATAGGTCAAATGTATAAACGTACGATAACCTTAATTTCTGAAAGCGTCCAATTCATTTCAATAATACTAATTAACTATAGATAGATATCTTGTAATTTATAATAATTTTTCCTACAACTAAAAATGAAACAAACTAAATTCCAGAGCATATTAACTAAGATAAATCCACGCTATCTAATGGTCGGAGCAACACTCACAATATCTCTTCCATTCCACTTACTACCAGCGGTACCTGCGTATGCCATGGTGGCCGCATATGCGGGAATACCGCCATCAAAAATGGTTAGCTCTTGTTTCAAATTAACCATCAAAAGTTATCTTACTAGTGAAGCTAACATGAATTATAACTGTCCAATTGAAATCGTGTGGTTTTATTCTCTTTCAGAAAAAAAATTCTTTTAAAACTCGCGCCTAAACGCTTTAAAACTAACAAAACTTATTTTAGAGTAAGCTCAGGCCTAGATTTTTCAAGTCCGTTTTTATTTTATTAATTTTTTCACCTACAAACTTATGCTCGGACGAAAATTGCAATTACGCCCCGAATCAGTCTATTTCGAATATAAATTATATTTAACTGGCTTTATTATTTCTTCCATTTCAGATGATAGCAGGTATTGGTCCATCTGTCGCTGCGATACTCATAAATCTTTTCACAACAACTGTGTGGTCCAAGATTATTTGGCCGGATGTGGATACCTATCCTAATTGACGTCATATGATACGCAAATTAATTAAAATACTGGGTATTAATAAATTTCATCCTGTTTTGTTGACTTCATTACGACCACTTTTATTTACAAACAAAACCCGTATTTATTTTGTGACGTCATTAAATTTAAGCCATCTTGTTTTGGAACTTGGAAAATTTTATTTTATTTTTAACTGAAATAAAACACAACGATCACACATTTAATGTTTATTAAACAACTAACAATACAATCACTATTTACATGAGCATATTTACATCTGGCAACATTATTAATAAGCATTAAAAACTTTTTAAAATGTTGCCGCCGTGTATAGCAAAATAAATATTATTTAATGGATCCGGATGAACACACATTTTATATAAAAAACGCATCATTGGATCTCAATTTCAATTATTAAAATATAAGGAACAATTACTTTGATAAGAACCTAATTAGAATACTATAATTTAAATATTTGTGCATATCACCTATCTATAACCAAACCGTACCATTTAAAATCCATATATTAATTAAATACAAAAATATCAATCGTCTATAATATTGTATAATATAAATATAATATATTTTTATTTATTTGTATACTATCTACCAGTCGTGTTGTGGTAACTGTTGTTGAGTCTATATTAATCATATGTAAAAACAAAAGGAAACTACATAATCGTACTACATTTTATTTGTATTTTAATACAAAAGGTACATCTGTATATATAATGCCACTATATGTTAATATTAATGTTAGCTATATATAAAAATAATACTCTGACATACTAAACTGTGACCTCTGATTTGAATTATTATAATATTTATGGTAAAAATGGTTATTATAAAGATCATTGTATATTGAATTTTAAAATATTGTAAATATTTTATAAATATAAGTAAATGGAGGAATCTTTGAAGGCACTATAAATGCAATGCTACTGGCGTAACGGTTAATTAAGATTTAGTATATAAGTATTATTGTAAAATGCTTCCGAAACAATTTAACCAGGATGCCAGTAACATGCCAGTGATTGGCACGTCTATTTTAAATATCACATTGATTGATTTTTTATTTCAGATCTTATTCATTAATATATAATAACATCACAATTCACACGAGGAACACAATAGTAAATATATAAAGCAATAATCAGATTCATGTTTATTAGAAAATGCTCTGAACTACGTTTGAAAATAAAAATGGTAACAGATTTTACCGCATTAAACCATATATCATTGGCACAACTAATATATATTCTAGAAGTTATTTTCAGTACCAACTATAATTATAACAATTAATTAATAATTGGTATAATAAAATGCTATTCAAAATGCAGGCATTTGGTAGGCATAATATCATGCTTCACATATATTTCTTTTCAATCCTCTACATATAATATCTACTAATATTTACCAAAAAAATAAATACTAAATATATCAGGTACATTTAATTCTTAAATAACGTATAATTGCATGCGAAAGAGCTATTACTAACCTGTAAGGCTAGAGTTTTATTCGCTATGCCAGTTACTGGCATGCTGCAGTTGTAAATGTGATTTGGCATAAGGTTACTGGCGGTGACGGCACAGTTGAGGCTGATGTTCTTAGTTGAGACCCTCGGGCCAGAGTCTAAAGCGAGAATATCTTCAGGCTTGAAGATCAACGAACCCCAAGTTGGATAAGCACCCCATACAATGAGAGTAGTGATTATTTTAGGACCGATACCACCCACAGCCTGGAAATGAGATATATAAAATAATTTTAATATTGAACGATAATAAGTATGTAATAATAGATTTTACTAAATCGATAATGTTTTAATAGTTTGTGTGTTTAAAAATTGTCTTCCATATTAGTAGTGTAAGTGAGGATAAATGTATGAGTCTGTGTAAAATAAATACGGCATCCAAGCATATTTTTTAATCTTTGTTCCAGCTTCATCTGTTACTAAATTGTTAGCCATAAGAGTCTTCATTCTCATCTTCTTCTACCTGTCAATTTCCCAGCTTTAGCCAGGGTCTGCCTGCCTTACATGTTGTGAATAGTTTTGGCTAATTGTTTTTACGACCGGCCGCCTTCCTGACATCAACCCTCTTTGGGAATACATTAATCAGTGATGTCTAAATAAGTATTCTTAGAAAGTACATATGACTCGGAAAAATCACATTGGTACTTGCCTGGGCCAGGATAGAACCCGCGCCCTCGTGAATGAGAGGCGGGCCTTTTAACCACTAGGCCACCACTGACAAAAATAACAAGTATAAAAATAAATAATAGATGTATCTTTTTATGTATTTCTTTAAGTATATATATTCTCACCATTCTAGAAGTAGGTATGTGTGCGACACCCGCCACTATAGCGTTGGGAGGAGTTCCCACAGGCATGTGGAAAGCCATAGAACAAGCCAGTGTCGCTGGGACCATTAAGTAGCGAGGATCCATTTCCAGAGTACGAGCCTATGTTTTGGACATAACATTATATTATAATACCTTTATATTAATAAAAGAATATTAAGATATAGATAAATTCCATACCATATTGGCTAGCACTGGCAGTATAAGATTAGCGATGGCCACATTGGATGTGAATTCAGTGATGAACTGTGTGACCAAAACTACTACGAGTAGAACTACTGCTGGCGGAAGACCATGTAGACCAGTCAACGAAGACCCGATCATAGATGAGAGACCCGTCGCCTTACTGCCTTCCGCTAGCGCGAAACCTCCACCTGAGACATAGGGAAATTGGTTGATATAATTCAATACAAAAAATATTAAGTTAAAATATTAATGTTTAATATGTAGTTCAGGGTCCAGTAAGTATAACTTCATTCTATTGCTATTTCTTTAGTATCGTTACTCAATTTCTTTATACTATAGTAAAACACGGTTAATTGATTAGTAATAATAAATTAACGTCCGTTGTTAAGTACTTACTTCCATTATTATGACTTTTACTGTACTTGAAAACAAGATTACACATAATTTTCTGGCATAAGCAATAACTGAATATATTTTGGCAGTACTGTGGCATAAAATATTACACAAAAATTACCATAACTTTCACTGAAAGCCATTTATACTTTCGACGAAACTTTCTAAACATAAATTAAATTATATCCCTCTCGGTAATTGATTAGGCGATAACATGCTATACAAATGAAAACATGAAATTAAAGTAAATTATTAAAAAATAGGTTATTCTACAAGTAAAACTTACCCAACAAGAAAAGCAGACCCCAAGGAATCTTTTCCTTCAGAATATTCCATGTAACAATTCCTGTGGAAGGTTTTGAGGCAGCCAACTCTTCGTCTACATAACATAAGAACATAAACTATCAAACTGAACCAAGACTTCATTGATATTCAAAAGATATACATTCTCATGAATGCTTTTAAAACGAAAAATATATATATATTTATTTTAATCGCCTTACGAATGTGTATATATTTATTTAATAAATAATAAATTATTTGCTATATACATTATATAAGCCAGCTATTAACCAATTTAAGCAAAAGCACTGTTATATATACAACAGTGCTACATAAATAACAGTGCTTTATATATACTTATTTATATTATAGTAATAATATACTCACATGATGCATTAGTTGTGAAGAACTTGATGAAGTCCACTGACATGGGCAGAATGAACATCAAGATAACAATGAGAATTGACACAACACCATCCTTTACTCTCCTGCAAAAGAATTAGTAATAAAAACCACATGTTAAATATAAAAATATGTATAAAATAATAAAAATTGTGATTAACATAACATGTTAGCATTAATATCATATATTACAGTTGTTACACAGTTCAGATTTATTAAAAATATTACAAAAATCCTTTCAACTCTACAAAGTAAATTAAATCACAAGCTTAAGCCTCAAGAAAATTCTGTACATGATGAATGTCTCATACATATTTTACTTGATAGTACTAAAACACAAAACGTAAGCTATTATATATGTATTAGTAGTGTGGGTTGAGCCACCCTGTGTCGAACACTTACATGGATGTAATGACATCGGCCCATCCCAACATGAATCCCGGCTTTCTGAAGATGTACAGGAATACAGCGAGGATGAATAATGTACCTGAAGCCTGGGAACATTATAATACATTTTAAAAAACCTTTAGTATACTCAAATAAAGAAAACTTTATGCAAATATATTATTGTTATTAAATATTTAATAACTACTATTTTAGTGGATTGTTATCCCTTAAAAATAAGATTCATTTTTGAGTGAGTGCTGTTTATATTCCATGTAATTTATACTTATATTATTAATAATTATTTCAATTATTACATATACAACTGTATGATTTATTTCACGTACATTTTAATTAAATAGAATTTTTTATACCCAGTGTATCTAAAACTACAAAAACTCTTTAGGTATATAACATTCAAATACATGTATATGTATATTATATACTGGAAAAACATAACCCTCCTCCTAATAAGTAGGGTAAAGGAATGAATGTCATGTTGATTCTAAAAATAATAATGAATTTCCCACCTTTTCATGGAAGGTGACTGGTCCGAGTCCCTTGTATTGTTGTCTTATAATGTTCATAGTTGTCTCCGACCCACCTGAAGCCTGTGAAGCCCTTTTAGCAGCCTCGCTATTAGGCCTGGTGAGTAACACGCTTTTTAAAATCCAGAAATAGTTAAGAGAGTAACAAAAAAGGAATATTATAATAAGTATCAAAAAAATAAAATGAATTTGATTACCAATTGTAATATTAAATCAAATATATTATTTTAATCTTGACCAATATGTATTCCAAAACAGACATTATGACTCTACAGTCCTTGAGATTATAATTTATGTGAACATGAGTAAAAAATCCACATTTAATAAATAAAGTGTTATATATCTGTGTATGTATTTTTCTTATAAAATATTTAATTTATCAATTATTAAGATATTGCTTTCCATACCTGAACATACCCATGTATGTCACTTGTAGTGACAACCATACAAGAATCTGCATTAACAGCATCGGAGGAGTGCTATATGCCATAAACCAAAAGAAGTCTACTGCACCTGATATTTCTGGAAACTCCCTTGGAAAAGAATGATATAAATTTTATAAATAGGACAAATTTTTAATCTCTACCTTATACAAACCAAATAAACTCTTATTGGTCAATTTTATGCACCATATAAAGAATATATGATATACAAGATAACTTTATATAAATAATGTTCTTACGAGTCAAAAATCCCCTTGAAAGCTGAGTTGGTGGCTGTTCCAACAAGCGTTCCACATCCACCAAGAGTAGAGGCATATGCGATGCTCAGGTAGTAACAGATGGTTGTGTCACTAGGTACAGGAGGCCTAAGTGGGAAAAGAAATATTAGACATGTCAACTATATGTTAAATCCATTGCACTTGCATTTTCAATCTGTATTTTATTTTAGTAAATTATAATTTTAGAACGGCCATTGCAACATAATTCTGATACTTGAATCAAATTTTTAATATATGTTTTCTTTCAAAGGAATTGTGTTACATTAACTGATAATTAAAAAAAAAATATTTACAATATTCACAATACTTACTCTTCTTCTGTATTCTTATCAGTCTTAACAGTGCTTCCGTTCTCAGCAAGTGCTTTCTTCTTGTTGATATACACTTCACCAAATCCTTGCTGAAATTCAATAAAAAATAAGTCACTACTTTTGTCTGTTAACTCTATCTGTGCGAGAAAATTCCTTACTGGGATTTCTGTGAGAATTTTGACACAATACGTAATCATTATTTCTTTTTACAACATTGTTATTAAATTGAATTCATATATAAACAACAAGATATTCATTTATTAAGTTATGAAGATGCGATGGTAGACATTAATACTTGATAGCTTACCTGTTCTAAAACCTCTAGTATAGCTTCAACCATGGGTACCATCATAGTCGTAGCCGCTGCATTTGAAACCCACATTGATATGAACATCGTCACGAAAGTTAGACCGAAGTTTAAACTAAAAGAACAAATAAAATTTAATTATACATTTTAACGATTAAGTAAGTAATTTTGTTCGGTTATAGGTATCAATTGAATATTGATTTTATGAAATTTAAAAAAAAAAGACAGAAATATTTTGCTGATGAATTGTAGAAAACAAAATAGATATTTCGGATATGATTTTTAATAAAATTATATATTTTTTTGCATTAACTAGTTAGGAGTGGAATTCTGGCAAGACAGTGACAAATCGCATCTCCAAGTTAGACGGACGACGTTGACGATATTAGGTTTAAAAACTATATAAGAAGATCAATAATTGATCTAAATTAATTATAATTATTATAAAGATCATAAAAGAATACTATGCTTAAAACTACATTATGTAATAATAACAAATTATGTTAAAAAAATTAGTACTGCTTTCATAAAAATAGGAAGAGATTAGAAGAAATTTGATTTATAAGGATTATTAAACTTATTTTCTCCTCCATCTATCGTATGTCATATTCTAAGATTTTTAATGTATTTTTGCTAGTGTCGTTATTTTATAAAATTTATTAAACTTGATTTCTTTGTTTTCTGTTTTTTTTACCATTAAAGATTCGCGAGTGTATTCATCGAAGTGATAATCGCTTTTAAATATGAAATATATAGCTCAAACATTATATAATATGAATAAAAGGTAGCCTTATAAATACAGTAGGTATTTACATCTTGTATCTTTGAATAAAACTCAACTATGCTGCTTTTGAGTTCTGTATATAAAATATTCATGTTTATCCTGGTGTATGTAAAAGAGAAATGAACAACAGAAACACTATTTGTGACAAATATTACTTAAATATTTAGACTAAAAACTTATCAACAGACGTTTTGTGGTTCATATAGTTCTTGAGGGAAAAGAAAATGTACTAACCGTCTGTGGGAACAGCCAACAACCTGCACTGTCCACAAGGCCACCCTCTTGGGCAGCTTCGAGTGCTGCACGCCAGCAGCTATCATCAATCCACCCATGAACATCATGTTCGTTTCTCTCATGTAAGCGGCACAAGTGCGATCAGAATCCAGTATTCCCATAGTTGGGAACAGCACGATCGGCAACATGGCAGTAACCGGAAGAGGCAGTAGCTCCAACACCCAATACGTAGCCATTATTAACACCACATACATACAGCGGTATGCCTAGAATATTTATTAAAACAATTACAATTTTTATGTAGAGAAAAAAATAGGAAAAAAAGAGAAAAAATATAGTACTTAAACAAATTAAAATTTGAGAGCTATTACACAAAAATATATACCCAGTGAGGTAAAAGCAGATGAGTTGAGTCTTAATCTTCGATTTTCTAATACATTACAAAATAAATGTAGCAAAACTTACACGAGCAAACTCAGATCCAGTATTCAAGATGGGTAAGGGCAGTAAAACTATTGGAGTCAAAACGACGAGAACAGACTTCCAATAAATTGAAAAGAAGAGACAGAATCTCTGCCATATTGTAGCATTAGACCGACTCTTTGAGAAGTAATATGTTGTGCCACTGAAATAAAATAAAAAAATATTATGCATTAGATGGGTTGATTAGTTTTGAAATTGCAGATTTATAGAAGACAAATAAATATCTTCATTTTTATTCAAAAATATTTATCTATAATTTATATAATGCCATATATTGACTACATACTTGAAATAATTCTTTTTATTGTGAAAAAGTAGGTAGATATATTTCTTGGTCAGATATTTCAAAATAAATTTATAAATGTCTACTATATTTAAAATATTAAAAATATTTATTAATAGTGCGTAACAAAATATTTATTTTTACTTGAAAGCTTAGTAATAAAAATTTTATATATGAAAGGATTTAAATGCTATAAAATACGACTCTAGTATATATATTTTTTTCATAAGATAATCAAATATATATTTATAAATATAATATGGCTATTTTATATTACTTACCGTCCCTCTTCTGGAATACCACTTTCACCCGCAGCAGACATCGTGAAGAATTTTTCAATAGTTAATCAAAAATAATATTTCGTATTCTTCTTTTAAAACATTCTCAACACCATCTAAAGTCAAAAGAGTTCATTTTAGATCATAATTACCAGCATAACATGTTAAAATTAAAAAATAGCGCAAGTTAATTCAGAAATATAAGAAAATTTATTTCGAAATATAAACATTTTCTTCGTATTCAAACAAAACGTACACATCTTTAGATATAGTTCAAGGACTCAACGGCGTCTATTTTGTATAATTATGGCTTTTCTTGGCATAGATAACTAAAAATTTCAAGTAACGAAACGTTAAATAGAATTAAATAAAAATATTTTTTCACATTGATGAAACGATTAAATCAAAAGCCTCTAATCATATTGTAAATAAATATACGAACTTAAGTTAATATTATCATATTTTAACAATACACATAGACTGAATATGAAATAAATTCGGATGAAACGAAATACGCTGTAATTTGTAAACTCAAATGTCAAGTTTCTGACAAGTAACATCAAAATAAAATGTCTAGGATTGCGATAGTTTATATTGATATTAGAATTTTTTTGATTAATGCTAGTTTAAACTAAGTGTGCTGCAGTTTTTGAAAAGGCGAAGTTGTAACCCTCTTCTTTTACGTGATTGAAATTTTTTATCTCTGTAACAAAATGCCGAAACTGGACAAGAAAAGGGCTGAAGGTAAGTACGTTTTTTAGAATTTATACCAGGCGATTAGTTAATAAAAAAGAATTAGTCCTAGTTATTGGTGATGTCATAAAACAAATAAAGCAACTTACAAAAACTTCGCTCTCACAACGCTGTTAGTTTCATAACCTAACAATAATTCCGGCTCTTGTGTTTTTGTTATCTATCAACCTATGTGAATGCGTCAACTAGAACCGATGTTTTCAATGACTCCATCAATATTTATACACGTTAAAGACTATTACTAATGCAAATTATTATAAATTGATATAACAGAATAACAACATAATCTGCTTGTATATTGTAATAATTGAAGTGTGTTTAAATGTTAACAAAACATTTATTAAACACTGAATCCTAGTGTTTTTGCATATTAGTTGATCAATAAACTTAAATATTATCAGTTAAACAGTTAAAGTTAAAATAAACTCAGACAGCTAAAATGGTAAAAAACCATAAATTAAAGTTTATTACTCTTTTTTTGGTTCTGAATTAATAAATTCTTTAATAATTCATATAAATCTTCTTAAACAGAAATTAAGTAGGCCTAAATATATAATTCACATTTAATTAATGATTTAAAAGATTGTGTGAGCAATATTCTTAAGTTCTATCACCAATTGTCCCGGCACCCACATGGGGAATTCATAGAATGCTGAGAAGTAATATCTCTCAGTTGACATATTATTAGTTACACCGAGTTACTTTTGCTTCATATAAAACTTTTAACCAATTCATAGCCAAAACCGAAACCAAACTTTTAGTTGATCGCTACTCGTAATATAAATTGTTTTTAACAATATAACCATAACAAATTTTATTGCAACACATTCCTTAGTTAATATATATTTTATATACTATTTGAGGTAATAATTTCTGTGTGGAATGCAACAAGATACTAGTGATTATTAAGATTGTCCGATGGTGATGGACCATCAATTTAAGTTTATTTGTATAGGATATGCATGTTTGTTGAATGTATTACTTTGTTTGTTCACTTGGTTTTGAAAATTTCTGTAATTAATATTACTTTTTCTTATAAAATTTTTTGTTATAACAAACATCACTTTCTTACAAATTTTTATCTCTTGACTACATTTAATGAAAGTGCGGCGGTCCGACTCAATATTGTTTTTCATAAAATAATATAAAAAATAACTATAATCATAACTGCGGTAAGTGTGGTTTGATACTTAAACAGTTATTTTATTTTGTTTGACATCAAAGAATGCTATTCCCAGATTCTACTGGGGAAAAGTTGAATTATTACTTCTCATAGGGCAGTGTAAAGGTTCCAAATATCTTGATAAAGGATTTAAGATAAAGTAGCCAAAATCTTTACAGATTTCCTTAAAGTTTCAATATTAGTGTATAAAAATTGTATGTTGGAAACTATTTGTATGTACAAGTATGATTTAACATTATTCATATATAAATTTATTATTTTAATAGCACTTAAAGTACAAGGACTTCGTGTTGAATAATAAAAAAGCAATATAATGTTGATTATAAAAATTTATTGAAAGTTGAAACATTATAGTAAATTTTTATTCAATCATTTGTTTGATATCCTCGTGATTTTATAGCATGTTAGGTAACTGTAAACAAATTAATTGATGTTCTGTTATATATGACATAGTGTTGGTCAAAAGCTAATATAAATATTTATGTTAACATAATTTAAACACGCTATGACGCAGATTCACGTCAGAATGTAAAGAGCTTGGAAGCCATAGTGTTTTCTTCATTAGATCTGGAGTGTTCTTATATTGTATATAGCCGGCAACATATATCACTGTTTACATAATAACTATCATTTCAAATATACCAATGTATGAAACGTTTATTAGTAATTTAAGCCTGTTTGTGGTTTGTTAAAATCATGTACTAGTTATATTGAGCAATAAATATGTTTGTTATTGTGTAAATAGCTGTATTGAAGAAAAACATGGTTTAAATATTCATTTATCCTACGATACTCTGCGGATATAAACAAGTAATAAATATCAATAATACAGTTGATGTTGAAATCTCAAAAACCTTTCACTTTTAATGTTTAATACGTTTTTCATAGTAATTTAACTCACCGCGGACTATTATCTCCGCTATGTGTATAATTTTGTTCTTGCACAGATATTGCACATACAATTTATTCTCGCTTATCCCGATAACTTAAGAGTTAAGGCGAAATTAAATTTTTAACTCTAGATTTAGTTCCAAATAGGTTAAGTAACTAAGACGTGTTAGCCGTTTGGTTGTACAATATTTATTTTACCTTCGTAGTAGATAGATAATAGTAAAGAAATACTTATACGTTAATTAAAATTAAAAATAAATTAACTAATATTATATAAGAATTCATTTATTAAATCAACTTGCGTAATCATGCTTCTTTGAAAATACATAAAGTTTTATTTGGTTTTGCTTGTCTGACGATCAACTGGAAAATAAACTTACAATATTTGATACTCAATTTGTAAGATTTTTTCTTTTAAAGTAGCTTTTTCCTTAGACATATACATACATATATAAGACCTTAAAAATCGAATACATACAATTTTTTACACAAACATACAGTGATACAGCATATTCAATAATATCCTATTTGATTGTAACATAAGTTCCTTGCCCTTCTTAAAGGAAAAATTTACACATAAAATAAATATAAATGCATTAGATAAAGATTAGATATTTATTTTAAGAGAAGAAGTATGAACATATTTTCTTTCAACATTGCAATGATTTTTATGACTGAAGTTATCGGCGACGATTTATGCCATAGTAACTAATATATCGATAATTTTCTGACATATTCCCTTTAAACCACGTTCTATAAATTTATTTACTTTCAGTTCAAAGCACATATAAATTTAGACGAAATATCCAACATCCGGTGATCTCAGAAACACCTTAGACAAGATTGAGTTACGATCTTAAAATTATTATAAATGGAAAATAGTTAAAAAATTACTTTAATTATTGCAAATTTTCCATGAATAGATCACGTTAGGTAGCAAAATAAATAAAAACAAAGCAGTAGTATTTACAATATTTTTTATCATTAAAACACTTTTAGTTTAAGTAACAAATAATAAACACAATTGGTTTCGTTGAAAATTTACAAAATTCTTTAATATGTAAAAGAACATTGAAACAAGACTGATAATATGTTATCAGTTAGAAGTTAAAGAAAAATTTACGATTGTGATAATTTTCGTATGTATAGAGAACTGAAATAATATATTTGTTTTGTGACTAATTATATGTTATTTCAATATTTAAATTAATGACACACTTGTTGCTCTTATAACTGACATATATAGATGATTTTTAATATCGATTACGCCAAACTTCTTGATTTACTCGTTCATTGTAGAAAAAAATCCTTGGAAGACATCGTACATGTATATATTTGTAGGTAAAAAAACGTCTGTGTTAACAAAGTTGCATTTTAATTTTCTCATATATTATCATGCATGTATTGTCTTGTTATAAATCGCCATTCGCCATCTGGGACGTCGCGTTTGAATTAAAATTAAACAATTGCTTCAATGATTCTATTGTCTAGGTTCAATTGTTAATATTTGAATTGTTAATTGTCAAATAAATCATTATGGTCGTATATGACGAACATCTGTCTGGAATTTATAATAACACTTTGAAGACGTTAAATCAATATATTACGCAACTAATGACAAAACAAATATCCGTCAAAAGGATTAAAAATAAGCAACTTGATAGACGAATACAAAGAAAATTCAAATAACAAAAAAGCCATACAAAAATATTTACAAGAGCGTCTATTCCGGACGCATATAAAAACAAATTACGGATTCGCTCTTGAATATTTACAGATTCGAAGTCCAAGGTGAAAGAAACCAAAAGCAAACTGATGACGTTCGTGGGTTCGGTCATGGGGGCGTGTCTTTGCGTCAGCAGTTACTGTTATTGTATAGCATCGGAATAGTAAAAGCTGGCCCCGTTATGTAACGATGATTTAAATGTGTACGTTTTATCACGACTCTTTTTATTTATAGTTAAAAAACCTTAACATATTTTGATGAAGTACATCCTTGATGTTTAGATGCCTAAGAATTTCAACAGTGTGACAGCTTCCGGTTTCGCTGTGTTAGCAAATATTTGTTTAGTCTAATAAAACAATAACAAGTGTAACGTTTTGTTGATAACAGCGTTGTTATTGTATTTGCGCGTGGACTATTATGTAACATTAGATTCACTCCTACAGTCCTACCCTCCACGGACTATTAGAATCAGCTCCTAGTATAGAGTTGGCGGGTATTGTATAGCAATACCTATTTTTTATATTAACGTTAAACTACTCACACGCATAGTATGTAAACCAGTTTCTAATCAATTGTATGTATTTAAATATATGTATATTAGGGTCGCCTAAAAATGATTTCTAAAATAATTATATAACACGTCAAGCCAACAGCGTCGTGGGCATTTATTAGAATTTATAACTATCGCAGTGTTAATAGATTTTTTTATGTACAAATAATTTCGTCAAATCGTATTACAAATTTTACACAAATATAAAAAGGTTTGCATGTAAAGTAAAACTGATAATATAGGAAAAAATAGAATTCTAAATTATCACCTGCTCCTCACGATTTCACCTGCTTATGTCATGAATCCATAGGAATTGTGTTATAGACAGTAAAAACGATAGACGCAACTACCACTGTATAAAATCAATTGATATTCAATTCAGTTATTTGAGAGACACAACCGACATCCATTATTTTTATTTAAAATTTTATTTACATTTACAATACATTTTTCATTATACTCTATTTGCTGTGCATAAAAACAAATCTTTGTATAACAAAAGAAGGTGTTAGGACACACATAATTAAAACAGTCTGTAAGTAAAATTTTTATTCTTTTAGTACTTCCGAAACTAATCCATAATAACTATAAGAAACAGTAAAAATCTTATTACCGTATACAACCCTTTTATAAATATAATC